ATRYWWATYGTKCGATWMWAGAAAAATAATAACGAGGAAATGGTATAAACACATATATATGTATATATACGTTTTAATAAAGAAATGAAAAAAAAATCTGAATGACGACATAGAATTGTTTCAGTAATCGCAATGTTTTCAAAGTAATATTTGGTAATAAAGTGTCAAGCTTAACTTATATAGGGCATAAAATATCAATGATTAGCCTTATAAAGTTAAGAAAATATGACACTATAGTAGCATTCTAAAGACAATTCCCAAAATATCTTCTCACAGAATTTTCTTTAAGAAGAACAATATGTATATCGATGTATCGTTTAACTACAAACATGTAAATCATTAAACAATCATATATAAAGAAATAATATACAGATCCAAGAGTGGTATCTAAGAGATCGCATTGCATGCGACAATTGTTAAATAGCTAATTATGTAATATGCTACATAATATTCATCAATATATATTATAGCACTCATCATACATGTGTGCACATATATGTATTTATATGTAAATACACTTTTAAACATTAAAAACTAGATTTTTGTATTCAGTTAAATGTTGATGTTTGGTTATAGATTTTGTAATTTGTACTTTGATAAATATACATGTCGATTGACATTATAATATATATACACAAGAGAATGAATATATTCTCTAAATAGAAACAACTACAAAAATTATACAATTTCATGAATAAACTTGATACTAAAGTACAGGGTAAAATTCTAGTATCATCATAATCATCATCATCATCATCATCATCATTAGTATCATAGATTTATTTACATATATCGTCACGTGATATACTTGATACAATAAATATTATATTATAAATATATATATATATATACATATAGATATATATTGTAGGAATATAATATTGTAATATATCGATTTTTCGATACAAAAATGCATTTCATTTAATTCATGCTATGAACAGCGTCGTCATAATGGTTAAGTCCATTTAATTTTGGAAACATTTATTTTGACAAAATATCAATTCGCATAAATATTCACATCGCTTATTATATATTATTATTAATAAATAATGAAGGAGTACTTACGAATGGATTACTGCAAAGATTTCCTTGAAATTAATTCCAATAGGATTTTTTCGCGATACCGAATTACAAGGAATCGAAACCGAATCAGTACTTTATGGCTACCGACTAAAGCGAAAGAAAAAATTAATTGCTTTGTGATAAGTTCAAATTCCCTAGTATCTAGTTGTATATTATTATTCCCTATATACAGTTTGCTTTGTATTTTGCGATTTATTTTGAAAATATTGTCCTTAATATAAATAGGTATATGAGAGCACTTCAATTACAAAAATAATAATTATAACAATACAAAAGAACATTTTTCAAAGTTAGTAATTTTGGAATATTTTCATTTCCAAAAATAAAACTATATTATCATCACTCGATAAAGTGTGATACTATTACAGTAGGTAGGTAATGTTTTACCGATACAATTATTTAACAATAACTTTTTATTTTAAACGAAATGAATTATAAAAAGCATTTTGAATAATTCATTAATTAACAATAAGGATGGAGTAATACAAAAGAAGGTAAATGTAAATTTTAACAAATTTTGGCGACGTAATTTGATCTAACGTTGTTATATATTATACAATCAAAATATTTCATTATAATAATAACATTATTGTTATTTTAAAAGAAAAGCACAGAAAAAAAAGAAACATCTTTAAAGCATTTTTAAGATACCACAATTTTATTTGACTAAAATTTATCGCCAAAAATTGTATATCCTAGTAGAGAATGTTTGTCCCATGTTTAGAGTTAAAATATGAATATGGTTCCTTCCGGTTGCAATTGTTCTCCAATAGGTGTTTGACCATTATCATCATTAATTATCATTTCCGTTAATTTTCCAGCAAAATGAGGATTAGTTTTCATTTCTCGTAATATTAATTCAGGAGTTATTCTAAAATTTGTTATTTTAAGGAACGTATCTATGATATAAAACAAGAATTGACTGTATGCACTTTACATACCCTTGTGGGAAATTACGAAGAAGAGACAAAAGTACTCTTTCTCGTCTGTTAAGATTAGAAATTTCGTAGGGTCCATCCCTTTTACCGTATCCTACTCCAATTGAAGTAGATATTTCATCTGGTCTGTAACCACGTATCTCTCTATCTCTCGGTACTTTTTTATCGCTCGGAATATTATAACTTCGATATTTCGATCCATTCACCATCAAAACCCATCCGAAAAGTATTAGAGCCATCATTAATCCAAATCGCATGATTGTTTTATTTGTCTTGCTAGAGTTAGTTATCCTTTAGAAAAATTCAAACAATCGGAAACTGTATATACTTAAACATAACATTATTTCATTATTTATTTTCACTATCAATTATATTCAGTATATTTTCTTTTTTCTTTTTTTTTTTTTTAATCAGAATAATTGATGAACTTCTTACAAGATTGTTTCATTACCTAATACTAAATCTTAAATTTACATTATTATATTAAATAAATAAACATATACACACATGAGAGCCAGGTGCTAAAAAAAAAGTCCATCGGATATTACTTACGTACACGTATTAAAGGATACATTTAAAAATCACTTTCTAATCAACTTAGATCGATTAGAATTATCTCATAAGAATAATATATAGAAATACATACATATATATATATATATATGTAATATTTATAATTACAATATTGTTATTTTTTATCGGATCCAAAAGAAATCATTGAAATGAAAAAATAAGAAACTTAGCATAAATATTTGAAGAAGAAGAAGAAGAATAAGAATAAGAATACACAGACACAGCAGGATGCTGTGACAAGTTAGATAAGTCATCTCTAATAACGCGTATCACGAAGGAGAGAACTGAATTCTCGATCTAGTTCGGTTGCTTTTGTATAAAGCCGCCTACCTTGGCGTCTCAACGGCCGCAAAAACAGCCGCCGTGCATCGCCTTTTGCTATCAATTTTCATCTCTATAATCATTTATATTATTTCATGTAAATGAAATATAATAAAGTATATATGATCAAATAATTGGAAACAATATCTATAATATTATTTTAGATAAAATTATTTAAAAATTATGAATTGAAATGATGATGATTTAGAACATTTCGTGCCGCCGTAATTGCAACCACCGCCGGAGACCGCAAGTTTATAGAATAGCCGCCAATGCGTATACGGACGGATGTCTGCAGTCACCCCCATAAACCGCCTACTCCCATTTCATCGGACATAGTAATTGTCCAGCCCCTTGATATGCCCTATTTTACATTACAGTACATGCTAATAAGTATAATGCACTTGTGCTTACGTTCCATTTCCTAAACTATATATATATATGTATGTATCTTCACTTCTTTTCATTACCTTTCAAGAAATTTAATTTACAATTTTTTCTATCTTATACATATATATTTTATGTTTTTTATTTATAAATATGTAGTTTCATTTTTAAATTGTGGGATTCGTAATTAAAAACATAAAAGTTTAATATATATATATGTACGTATATTCTTCTTTTTACTTAAAAATCGATATTAAATGCGCTTTAAATAAATATATATATATAATATTTTATCTAATAATTACTTAATCGATACGTTTTAAATATATATGAAGTAATTATTAAAATAATTATCACAAAGTTTTGATTTCGCAATGATCTAATATTACGTTTGGAATTTCGTGGAATACGTATGACCGAGGAATGCCTGAATATTTAACGAAAAGATCCAAAAAACGTATACTTCCAGTCGATTCGCTTTCCGCTTCACTTCCAACTTTTGTACTGAAACATAGTTTTACTTATTATTAATTAACAATTAATTGATTAGATTTATTGATTTATACATTCTTACCTATCTGTTGTTACGAGAGAAAGTATATACATACAGATATATTTTATATAATTAAATGTAATAGAAATATGGAATTGACGAAGCATAGTTTGTATTCCAGCAACAAATACTACTGCATCTAAATGATCTTGTGATTTTTTACTTAAAAGACTCGCTGTAAGAATAATTTGATATTAATATGAATTAATATAGAAATGAAATGTTATTATATATCAATTGATACCTGTAACGTTGCAATAATACAATTTACCAAGCTGCGATACGGTAAATAAAAACATTACAAATGATATGTTGTTTATGTGTGGAGGTTTAATATAAGATTTATTAAGAGGATCACTTATGCCGGCCCAATCTAATCTTAAACTGAGCTCATGAAGTAATTGGATTTCGTCGGATTTTTTTATTTTTTTATCGTCGCTTAAATTGCTTGACTTAATCTCAGACAATATTGCTCTGTATATACGTATACAAAAATATAAGCATCGAGAATATTAAGTTAAATTCTTTAATAATTTATGTAACGATGATAGACATACGTGTTTAATGTTTGCAATGCTGCTTCCATATGTTTTGCTTCAAATTTACATGCTGTATTTAATTCGTATGCTATTTTTCTTCGAAGTATTTGATAATGACCTATTTTTAATATCCAATCTAATATTTGCAGCCACATTTTATTTCCATGCGTACCAACGATGGTCTGCAATTTTGTCATCATAGCTGCATATACGTGTAATCATATTATTAATATCATTTTTCCAAGTAACATTCTCTATTATTTTAAATCATACCTTTAGGATTTTCTACACTGTTTACAATAGTCAAACATTCATCAATGATAGAAGACCATTGTTTGTTACGCATTTCTTTTTCAATATAATTGATTACATTTTCCAATTCAATCACAATATAAAATGATATCAGTTTATCCATGCCTGCTAATGCTGGAGTACCTATTGCATCTAATATCATTGTAAAAACTCTGTGATCTATTATCTCGCTTAGTGTCATGATATTACACCAAGCAAGTGCATGCTCTATATAAACAGTATTTCTAAAAATGATAATTGATAAAATAAACACCCTAGTGTGCTTCATAAATATATAGAATATTATTTTTCTAATATTACCTAGGATCAGTAATACGAATAAGTTCTCGAGTAAGCCTGCCAATAAAAGTTAAACAATTGTTTTCTGTTAACGAAGGATGTTTCTCATTTGAAAAATATCCCCAAGCTTTTCCAGGGATCCAAGAAGATCCTCTTTGTTCTTCTTCAATTGCACTATCTATAATATAAATAATCTAAACAGAAAAGAGATTTTTTGATGAGAACAAGATAAGGATTAATTCCATTGTTTTCTCATTGATGCTTACTTCTTCGTGCCATATTTTTAAACTGTTGATATTTATATAATCTTGAATATATTGAAAAGATTTACGATAACCGTCCATTATAGAGGCTAAACTTTTTAATTTTTGAGGTAATGTTACCTACACACACACAATCATGTCAACGTTACAATAACTATAACAATGTATTTTTAATATTGCAAATGTTATATAGATTTATATTATACATACTTTTGATTTAGAATCAAAGATAAGACCATTTTGTAACGCTAAAGTAACTTGTTTCACAAGTTCCTGACGTATACCATCTTCTAAAAGACGATGCGAGTCCACCCTTAAAACACCTAATGAAACACTTCGTAAAGAAAGTACTCCTTTTGTAAAAACCGATACATCATATGTTAATTTTGCCATCTACATAAATAAATAACATTGTATGTAATATTATTCACATGAGTATATATTAAATATAGATATATCAAAATCAGAAATATAAATAAAATAATACTACAATTTTCAATACCTGTAATCTATCATCTAATTGAGCATAGTCTTTTAATTTGTCTTTAGGTAATTTTGTTGGTATTTCTTTAAAAGCATTTGTTTCTAAATGCACTATCTGAGCGAGTAAACCAAAAACTGTTTCAGGAATAATTTGCAAAACTCTTCTAGCGTAACTTTCTAATTCTCTACTGTAATATTGAGACACAGAAGATAAATCAGAACTACATGCTTGATTTATACGTAATAATGGTGTCTCTAAAGCTGAAGCCATCTATAAAAAAAAGATATTGTGACTGTTTACGTTGGCTTGGCTCATGGCTTTTTCTTATATTCTTTCTTACTTTTAAAAACAACGCTTTCAATTTGATGACTGTCGGAGGATTCTTTTTTATACTTAATTGTATAACATCAGTAAAAGTTTCCATTATATTCCACGCGTAAGTACAATCAGTTACTATGTTTAAATTAATAATAGTATCTTCCGCAATATTTCCTGTTCGTAGCATATTATGTAATATTTCACGAGTATCCGACAAATATTGAGATACATGTAGATTATTTTCCAACTGATGAAATTCTAAAATCATTGAAAATTAATGACACCAAATACATAAGATAACAAATTTTCATTGAAATTTTACCTTGCACGTATTCCAATGCCTGTAATAATTGAACAATTTTTCTACTATCCTCTTGTTGCAAAGAATTAATATGTTTACTTATTTCCATAAACCATGCATGCAAATCTTGAATTTTTTCAACGCCATCGAGAGATTTGTTATCGCCAAATATTTGAGCTAAATCAATGATGCGTTTAACACAAGCTTCTTTATCTCTGAGCCACTTAGTTTCTTTTCCAACTAATAACTAATACAAAATATACAATTGTTACTTCTTTTGTAAATGTTAGAAAACAAATATTTAAAAATTGTATTCACCTCTTTATACTTCTGCTTAACATCTTGTTCAATTTGCGCTGTATTCAACAATAAACGAAGACAATTAATCTCTGTATATTTACTTTCGGTAATAACAAGTTGTTGAAGAGAACGAGAACGTTTCGATAAATTTAAAGAAGTTGTATGCAATAAAATCCAGCGCAATGTTACATTGCAATCTCGTACTAAATTCACTAATGATCCTATTGCATTTTCATCCAGGGTACCAGCTAATTCTACTTCTTCAGTTTCGCGTAATAATTCCTAGAATATGATACTATTAATGTGAATTAAATTAGAATTAATATATATATATATCACTTACCTCCATTTTTTGACCGTGCTTTTGAGCTATGGTTCTTATATTAGACGTTTCAAGATTATTATTAAGAGCTGTTCTTGCAGCTTTATATGGTAACCACCAATCTTTTAAGTTTATAACTATTCCCATGTAAATACTAATCACCCAATTATCGGAAAAAAATTTATCTACAATTTCTCTCATCACTGCGGTTTGCGTATTTAATATGTCTGGTATAAAGCAAAGAATTATAACCAACATTGAGGCTTGAGTTGAAAGAGCAATGTTTCGATATTCTGGTTGATGATTATGAAAAGCAGGTCTTTGATTATATAAATCACCAAATCTTAAACAACCAACGATTCCTTCTATTATTGAGGCATTTAATGGTATTCTCCTATAAAATAATTTAATATACATCAAATAATGCGTATACATCAAATTTGATAAATAAAAATTAGAAGACATACCCAAAGTAATCTTCAGGATAATTACTTGGACGTTTTCCTATTTTACTATATCCTGTTGATCGAAGTAACATACAAATATCGTCTACTTTAGTAGACGATGATTCTTGAGCATTGTATCGATAATAAGATACAAGTAAACGTTCACGAACTCTTCCTTCAAAATGATTGTCTACTAATAACAACATAACTCCATATAAATATACTGCCTCGCACTAGAAATATATGTAATAACAAATAAATATAAAATATGATATTTAACTTATTTATTTTATTAATATCAAATAAAATTATACCATCAACTGTTTTCCATCTTCAGATGACTCGACAGTACTAGAAGACTGATAATCTTCTTGATTTAACTTTTCGATATAAAAATTTAAATCTGTTATATATTTGTGTATACTTTCAAATGCCAGATAAAAGCGTGATAACAATTCAGAAAAATTATTTCTTATTTCTTCATCCGTTTCTTGAAGCACCTGTAAATATAATTTACAATTTAAAGTTTATTAAGATAAATAGGATCATAATTTAATAGTCATTAAAAGTTAAATTCCTTACCGGATCATCTTCAATTTTTTTTTCATACGTACTAGTTGCTTTGAAATAAGAAAAATCATTTAAGATCGGACCATATTTTTGAGTAACTTGCTTCGTATCCAAACTGTGTACAAACAAAAATTATATTTTATCTTTAACACATAATAAACATATAAACCAATAAAACTAACCTAAAAATTGGTGGAACATAATCCTTCAAGCGCATCAATTCAGCTATAATTGCATTTCCACGAGAAACTAATCGCAACAATGTCTGTCCTCCAACATTATTAATAGTTAAATAATCACCCATTTTTAATTTGATAGAAAGAAAATATATGAAGTGTTAAAATGATGAATAAAATGTCACCATAAACGTCACTGTCAATACTTCCCTGATATCAATTGCAATAAAATTATAAATTTATATTATGTTTTGATATTTAATAAAATAAGAAAGAAATGGATCATTAATAGATTTATAGATTACTTTGTTTTCAGCCTGCATTTATGCATTTATTTCATATTAAACATATATGATAAATAATGATTGATCTTATTATCGAGCAGTGATGCCAGGACATGAGATACGCACGTGGGATCCTTCATGCGCATGCGCATGTTGACGTCACAACTCGACGGTGGTTGTTTCCATGGACGTATATCTATGTGCAAGACTGATTAAAATCTGATGATAATAATAAAAAAGCTTTCTGCACGGCTTGCAATAAAGTATTGGCATGTGAAAAATCAGAACTTATTATAAAAATATATATATTCATTTATATTTCCATGTAAATATGTTATTTCTTTTAAAAATGTCCTCTTCTTCTAATTTCTACTGTATTTCAATTGTCACGGGGGTCTAACGATACCACATATTTGTGTGAAGTATATACGTTACTAAGGATTAAATACTGCGCATGCGTGGGAAAAATCCCACCTCCTGCATCACTGTCATGGAGATAGTAAACCATGTGATTCTATTACACAATAATGCTTGCATCACAATTAAAAATATTAGTCTTAATTTCGCGCCGATTTTTCTCATGATTAGAAATCTAACCTTGTTTTAAACAATTTGTTTTAAATTCGTCCATTTTATATCTTTTACAAATAACAATAAATTTAAATGTTTAATATATATTAATGTATACATACATTATATAGGTTATACAATTAGGAACGAATATGAAATTGTCACATTCTAAAACAGATACTTGATATCTATTTCGAGTTATATGCAATGTGTTAATCGTTTATTTATATCACACTAGTGTGTGCCGATTTTCTCGTTGATCCTCCAACTATGTTTAAACTTAAACATAGTTTAGTTAAAATTGTACATTTTATTATTTTTTCCTAAACAATAAACAACGTTTTTATTTCCAATTATGGATGAAATATATTTTCGCATTACAAATCATCTAGAAATATTACAGGTATCTTTTTTGTTATTATTATTATAAAGATTAATACTACAACTAATCCATGTATATTATTATAATTTAAAATTAATTTCTATAATTTTACTTTTTTGTTCATTCCTTTATATATTTTTTTTGTATGTATATAGATAATTTTGCATAATTAATAAATAATATTAATAGCTGAATTTTCTTCACGTTAACGTTATGATAATAATGATAATAATAATAGTAATATATACATATAGAAGAAATATTTCTCATGTCTGCAAGTATGAAATAATTGAAAAAGAAATTTGGGATAAGGTTCGAGGATCTTTAGCGATTCAACAAGGACAACAATGGGTTTCTACATTATTAACGTACTGTCAGAGGTACATTCAAGAATTATTTAGCGATCAACATGTGCAGCATATGAAAGATATCATACATAATTTGATAACGTATATTAAAAAGTCTTGGGAACAGTTACATTTCAAATATTATTCTATTCATATTAATTTTACACAATTTTATCAACAATTAGCTGCGATATGTACTAATGAAGGTATGATATTTGTTTATTTCATAAGAAAATAATTCTAAAGATGCATCAATTTTCCAATCATTTCCATATATTTATGTAATATATTTATTTCAGTCACACGAAGAGAGATCATATTTTGTCTAGCAGGTATATCTATAGGTACATTAATAGGCTATACCATAGGTAGGAATTGGATTTATTATTCCCACCATATGCATTATATAAAAGCTATTACATGTCACCATTATATTGGTATAGAGGTACATCGTAAACAATATATATTATATGTATAACTAAGAGACAAACTTTGCATTATATGTAAATATAAATATATAAATGTAATCGTATTTAATGCAGGGTGTTTCAATGACAGATGATGCAGAAATGCCAACGATTCGTAAATCTAACGACTTACTGATACAAGTTAAAGCTGCTTCGGTTAATGTTGTTGATACAAAAATATGTTCTGGTTATTCTAAAGCTTATAGAAGACTCTTAAATTCTGGAGTAAGAAAATAATGAATTATCCTATATTATTATTAAATACTTTTTTAACATTGAATTTTCTCTTTTCAGAGGCATAAAGATATTCCAGTAATATTAGGTAGAGATTGTTCAGGTATAGTTATTGATATCGGACAAAGTGTTATTAATTTTGATATTGGAGACGAAGTATTTCTTGCTGTACCTTCATGGGCACCTGGTACTATGGCAGAATACATAACTGTTCCAGAAACTCAAGTAGTTAAGCGACCTAAACGATGTACTCATGAAACAGCTGCAAGTATTCCTTATAGCGGTTGCATGGCATGGGATGCTTTAGTTAATAAATCTATTATTAAAGAAGGCAATGCAAAAGGACAAAGGTAATACAAAAAGTATAATCATTAAAATAGATTTACAATTGAATGATGACAATAGCTCCGGTAAAATAATCTTTCATTTATTTTTATAGGGTACTTATATACGGAGGTAATACTCCAGTTGGATGTATTTTAATTCAACTTGTAAAATTATGGGGCGGCTATGTAGTAACAGCATCTAGACAAAATGCTTTACCCGTAATGAGAGCTTTAGGTGCTGATGAAGTTTTATCATTAAACGAATCAAATATTGAGAAGGAGTTAGAACTTCATGATAAGTATGGTATACTTCTAATAAAAACAAAAGAAAAGACAAGTAGTTGTTATGATGTAATTCAAAATTTCAAGCAAAATGTTTTAGGTTTAATGCAATTTTTTATACCGGTGGTCAATTAACGGAATTACATACATTAAAAAAATATTTACATCCTCATGGCTCCTTCGTGACAACAATGCCTGAAAATTTAACGTCAGATTCATTGGGATTTATATCTGGAAGTATATTTGCTGTATGTGTACGCATTCAATTATTAATACAGGTATGTCAAGAAAAGATATTAAATTATTATAAAATATGATTATATTATTAAATTATTAATAATTGTCTTTAGTATATATTTGGTTGTAATATACACCAATGGAAAGAAGGTTCTAAAATAAAAGTCGATTACTTGCAAGCATTATCTGAATTAACCGATGCAGATGAAATACAACCTGTCGTCGATAGAGTTTATACTCCTCACAATATTGAAGAGGCATTACATCACATATTAGATCCGGACGCTATTGGAAGTACCATAATCAAATTTTAAAAATAGATCATTTTCATGTGTTAAACAACAATATTTCTTGTTTCTCAAATGTTATTATTTATTATATCTAGTAGTATAATGTAATATTTTTTAAACTCTACATTATATCATTTTGAAATAATTTTCTCATGAACAAATTATAAGATGGATATTATCATGAAGCTATATTATTATAGAAAAAAAATATCATCATCATTGCCATGCTGCCAAAGTTAAGACTGATGAAGTAGACAAAAATAAATGCACATATTATTCTTTTAATCTCGCTTTACACATTGTTAAAGTAATGAAAAGACAATAAATTATAAAATTGATGACATCGTATTGCTTTTAATTGAGTATATTATTGTATTAGTAGATTTACAGTAGACTTTAGATAAATATTAGAAAAAGTAGTATAAAAGTAAATATTTCGAGATCTTGCATTATATTTAAGATTCTTCTATTAGAGATATCATATAAATTTTATTTTGCTTTTCCTCTGAACTTACTATTACCAGCAGTTTTGCCCTTCTTAGCTGATCCCTTCTTTTCTTCTATCTATTTATATATTTATATATATATAAAAAAAAATTAAAAAAATGATTAAAAGGTTGAAAAGAATGAACAGGTTTTGAAATTTACCTTACGCTTTTGTGGATTTGAACTTGGTGTCGATAATACTTTAAAATACGAATCAAGTCTACCCTGGGTCGTTGTATTACGAGCTTTGTATAATTTTTTGGCGCCACTTCTAACACGTTCCTCATTAAATTGTTTGTCACCACATAAAAACTGTACTAAACCTTCTTCGTCTGGTTCTGACCATTTCAACTTATAAAATGAAACAGAATTATTTAATTAGTATCAAGTATAGAAAAAATACAATGACTGTGTACTTGTATATAAGTATAACATTTTACTTCAATGTCATTGACATCTGCAACATCTGGTTCTTTAAATAACAATCTTGCTTGCTTATAATTCCAATCTTCCGGTATAGTATATTTTTTAGTATCCAATTTTTCTATAATCTTTTCAAGAGACTTATGTGTTTTTATTAATTCTATTGCTCTTTTAGGACCAATTCCTTTAATACTATTTGTGTAGTCACAACCCAACATAATGCAAAGATCAATAAACTGAAAATTTATATGAAATAGCAGATATTTATATAATTCATTTTAAAAATAGATCTGAGCTCATAATAGAAGTAAGTACTTACTTCATCCTTATTCAATTCCAAACCTTCTAATACTTTATTAAAATGAAATTCTTGAACAGGCATTTTTCTAGCTTCGCTGAAAGTTAAACGACGCAATAAAACGTCACATCCAAAAGTAAGAGCATCCATATCCTCTGTTGCTGTCGCAAAAACTTTTCCACCTTTTACCAAAGCTGCACATTGAGCTTCAGCTTCGCATGGAGCCTTCCAATATACATAGACAATGTATAATATGTATATTATACACATTCGACACTTATAAGTATTAATTTACTTACATCGACAAATGGTATACCCATTAATTTAAGTAGTTGCTTGGCTTCTTCAGAATGAGTTTTTGTAACTTTAACCAATCTTCTATTAAATTTATCAACATCCTCAGCATTTCCTTATTACAATCAAAAATAATAAACTAAATAAATGATACACGACACGACACAACACGACACGACAACACAGACAAATTATATAGAAAATTACCAGCTTCTTCTGCAGCTTGCAACAATTTTTGTGCTTCCTCTCTTTTCTCAGCGCGTTTAGCAAGTTCTCCACCTTTTAAATCTGGTGGTTTACCATCAAAAACATATACAGGTTTTATACCTTGATCTACCAAACGTATAGTACGATAAAATATTCCCATTAAATGGCTACGATTGAAAAAGAATGACAAATGGATTGAAATATTTTTTTATTAAAATGTTTGCATTCCAATAATAATGTGTGAATATGATTAATATATTGAATTATTTCATAAGAATACCTTGTTGTTTCACCATCAGCTGCTGTGAGTTGTGCTCCTTCACTGCGAACGGCAATCAAGAATTGATATAAACACATGGATGCATCTATTGCTATTTTTCTACCTAATAAAAATAGACAAAATTAAATTAATATAAAATAAGATCTTTTTAAATAAATATAAACAAAGTGATATATTACTGTACCAAAATAATGTTTCAATTCTCGTTCCTTGATTGCACCAGGTGCTATGTCAGCTATTAGTTTTGACAAGCCTAAAATACCCATTTTAAGGTTATCACTGATCAAGATTCGTTGAATATGTAAATAAAAGTAAATAAAGAGTTTTTGGGGATGACAATCCAGACTTTCATTCAGAAAAATCTATCTATCTATCTATATAAGTATCATTAGGTTTCCCGCCTATATTTTCTAAAATAAATGTGTATAAGACTATGGCGTCTCAGCTACCTCTCGCTAGTAACGTCAGAGGGCAGCAGCATTATCGGTGACCAACTTAAAAAAAATAAAATTTAACAAACATTCGAAGATATCTCATAAAATATGTTGGTAGTACTTTCTTACTATGTATTTAATTTCGTATACTTTATAACCATGTGTTTTTGCATCTCCTAACCTTAATAAAAATGAGTTTGTGTTGAAATTGTAAAAAATGGAATCTAACTTTGATTTGATAAAAACAATTGAAGATGATGAAGAAGTGCCTAATTATTCTGAACAATCAGACGAGGAAGACGATGTAAGTTACTTTTAATAATACAATTAACATTTTATTTGACATTTATTTTTTATATGTATCTATTGAGAATTGTAATTATTGCAGTATTATAATGTTATATTTCTTTTGAAACATTTTAAAGTTTTTTAAATAGTTTCAGCCACGTAAGCAAAAAAAGCAAGAAAAAAAAGACTTTGATGTTGATTTTCAATTTGTAAATGATGCTTCTGAATACAATCAAGACACGTGGAATGATTTAAATAAATATATTAAAAGAAAAGCAAAGACTAAATTAGATGACAAAATAAAAAGTATTAGAAAACAAAAGGAACAAGAGGTATGTATAATAACTAAATGAATAAGTTTAAAATAATATTTATAATATTGTTTTTTTTTTTTTTAGAATGGAGATGTCGATGATGATAACGAGAATAAACCAGAAATTTCTCAAGAAGACGATGAATTCTCTTTATCGGAGGATGAACTCCAAAAAGATGCATTTAAAACAAAAGATAAAAAAGGGAAAAGGAAAAAAGATACTAAAAAACAGAATGAAGAGGCAATTCATTTTGAAGAATTTTCAAACGTTGAATCATATGTTTCTTTTCAACAAATGAATTTATCAAGACCCTTATTAAAGGTACGAAATAGAAATCTTGTTAATATAATAATTGTATTAAATAAATGATTTGTTGATTACAATATTATTATAGGCAATAACGACAATGAAATTTGTTCATCCGACACCTATTCAAGCAGCTACAATACCAGTCGCTTTAATGGGACGTGATATATGTGGTTGTGCAGCGACTGGTACTGGCAAAACTGCAGCCTATATGCTTCCTGTTTTGGAAAGATTATTGTATAGACCAATAAATGGTCCTGCTATTTCACGAGTTCTTATACTTGTACCAACGAGAGAACTTGGGGTTCAAGTATATCAAGTTACTAAACAGTTAACGCAATTTACTACGATTGAAGTAGGATTATCTGTGGGTGGATTAGATGTTAAAATTCAAGTAAGTAAATTACATTGATCTGTAAAACTAGTTATACAAATCTTATCTATATCTTATTAATAATAAACATATTCGCGCGGTTAGGAAACTGTATTACGCAAGAATCCAGATATTGTAATTGCAACTCCAGGAAGATTGATCGATCATTTAACCAACACACCAACTTTTTCTTTAGATAGTATAGAAGTACTTATTTTAGATGAAGCAGACAGGTATTTAAGGAACATTTTCTACATTTAAAAGATATTATTTGCTTTTGATTATATTTCAAATGATGTACATTTTGTTTAGAATGTTGGATGAATATTTTGCCGAGCAAATGAAGCATATTATAAAGCAATGTTCAAGAAGTAGACAAACCATTTTGTTCTCAGCTACTATGACAGATGAAGTTAAAGATCTAGCTGCTATGTCATTAGATAAACCAGTCAAAATATTTGTGGACAGTAATCAAGAAGTTGCATTTAATTTACGTCAAGAATTTATTAGGTAAATAATTTGTCTTTTTTAATTATATATATATATATATATATATTGATTGTTTTATACAACGCAAACAATTAATTTCCATTACAGAATACGTAAAGAGAGAGAAGGTGATCGTGAAGCGGTATTAGCAGCTTTAATTTGTAGAACATTTCACGATCACACTATGGTTTTTGTACAAACTAAAAAACAAGCTCATCGATTGCATATTTTATTAGGATTATTAGGTATAAAGGTACTTACATCTTACGATACTACATGAAAAACTATTTGTTAGAAAAAGAAAAAGAATAATATACACATTTTGATATTACAATTTTGATATTTTATTAGGTTGGAGAACTTCATGGCAATCTTACACAACCTCAACGATTAGAAAATCTTCGTAAATTCAAAGACGAAGAAATAGATGTTCTCTTAGCAACTGATGTCGCAGCTAGAGGATTAGATATCAGCGGTGTGAAAACTGTAATTAATTTTGTAATGCCTGCTACCATGCAACATTACATCCATAGGTATAATATTGAACAATGTGTATAAATTGCATTTGTAATTTATATTTTAAATGAAATGAACAAAATTGTAGAGTTGGAAGAACAGCTAGAGCAGGTCGTTGTGGAGTATCGGTATCATTGGCTGGCGAACAAGAACGTAATTTAGTGAAAGAAATAATCAAACAAGCTAAAAATCCTGTAAAAAATAGAATAATACCACCGGAAATAATAGACAAATATAACAAAAAATTACAAGCCTTAGAACCAGACGTAGAAAATATATTACAAGAAGAAAAAAATGAAAGAGAACTTGCTAAAGTAGAAAATCAAGCAAACCGAGCTGAAAAAATACTCAAAGGTTCCGAAGATAAGAATCATAGAAGTTGGTTCCAAAGTTCTAAGGAAAGGAAAATTGAAAAAGGTGATACAAAATTATTCTTTAAATTAATCAAAATATCTAATTATAATAAAGACGATTATTGTAGCATAAATTTGTATTTTTGTTGTTGTTGTTGTTGTTAGAAAAATTATTATTAACTACGAAAAAACCACGTAAGCAAAAAGATAAGGAGGAAAAGGACTTTTCTAAAGTAATAGAAGAAAAGAAGAAGAAGAATGTGAAAAAGGAGCAACATAAGGAAACAGCCGAAGATAGAGCAAAGAGAGAATTGGAAAAGATAGCAGCATATCAAGCGAGATTAGCTAAACAAAAGTCTAAAGAGAAGAAGATTAGAACGGTTGTAGATACAGATGCATATACTACGAATAATAAAGGTATGTTTAAAAGTAATGTTTTGACTTTTACAAAATTTCCATTCATAAAATGTTCATAAAATGTTCATAAAATGTTCATGAAATGTATTTTTACTTATGTAAAATAATGACAATTTGATAGGATCCAGAAAAAGATCAAGATCATCATTTGCTAATGATTTGACAAATACTAGCAGTAAAAATGTGAAAAAAATGCGTTACGAGTAAGTAAACTATGTGTATTAATATACACGTGCGTGCATTAATATATACAAATATTAAGTGACAATATTTCTATTTCAGAGCAAATAAGAAGCAAAATTTAAAAAAAAACAATAAACGAAAATCTAATTTTCGTGGTGGAAAAAGTCAAAATAAGAGATCGAGGTAACGTTGACAAATATAAATCATTAATATTTGTAATGAAAGGAAATAAATTTTAAATAAAATTTGACGAAACGCGTTAAATAGATCGCTTTTAATTATTTATTTTATTATATAATCATTACAATACTTTTATTTATGTCATAAATTGACAGATGATTAGCACTGATTATTTTAATTGGTTTTCTTTTGATCAGTATTAATGGATAATGTGTGTGATCATTTTTATTTAGTAAAAACTGCAATACTATGCATCATTAAATTGAAGATATTACACCACCTAAGAAAGTAATATTTAACTTATAATAAGATCTGTGATAAGTTAATGATGAGCATAGAGTAGAAATGATCAATTATTACTTTTGCTGACAGAAACAAGAATTTAATTACAGATATGTGTATTATAACACGAAATCAAATAAAGAATATTTCTTTTTTCAAAATTGCAAGACTATTACTATTATAAACTTTAAATAAACTTGTGTCAATATATTGTATGAAATATGAAATAGTTGTAGATATACGTTCACAAGTTTATGATAAAAGCAATATTAACTTCAATTATATCCGATTACAAAAAAGCCTAACTTATATTTGAAAAGAATTATGATTTATCCTGTAATGATATATAAAATAATGTTTAATTATTATAATTATATATCGTAATTAATAATAGTTGTAATAATAATATTATTATTATTATTCTCTCTCTCTCTCTCTCTCTTTCTTTCTTTCTTTCACTCTTTTCGTATGTACTGTTATCTGTATGAATTTGAGTGTATTAATATTACAATAATCTCAATCATTCCTTACTTACAATTACATGCACACCTATATGCAGTTATTATATCTGTAATTAAATGAATCATCACAAAGAAGAAAAAGAAACTTCCGGAGATATAGGCAAAATTTCAAATTATAATCAAATTTTATTCAAATTTGTACCCAAATATTTTTTCTGGTTGAAAAATGATTATTCATTAAATCAAATGCTTATTTTTATATGTTTATATATAGAGAGATATATATTTTAAATAAGAATTAATATTAACATAATAGTGCAGATATATAAAGCAAGAAAATAAAAGGAAAAAAAAAGAAAAAAAAGAAAAAAAAGAAAAAGAAACACTTCTCTTGATGATACATAGAGACATACACTTATACTTGTAAATATATAAAAACTAAATGTGATTCTTTTAATCTCTGGAACATTTATTTTTCTTGATTACACATTAATGATATTTAATGTGTGATAAAAAAGTTGTTTGTATGATAAAAATAGTAGTAGTGATGATTACCTGGCACATGCACAGAAACATTTGTAATTAAACCGAGCATGTGAAAGGTATATAATCACACTAGAGTTAAATTACGTTTATATATAATTATGCTATAATTTACATATTTATAAACAGGAATTTATATTATCACTGAGGTATAAACTTACTAGGGAATTTTTATAAATATAGAAAACCTGAAAATGAAATTAGTTTACTTAATAAAATGTTAATGTCAAGATAAAGATTAATATATATATATATATATATATTGATGCGTCAACATGAAGATGTAATTATATTTTTATGAATATGGGTTTTTTCATTTTTCTTTTCCTTATAGTAAACGTATAAATATGAATAAAAATTCTGCCTCGCAAATGTTAGAAAATTCATTGATGAGATTAGTTTATGACTAATTTAACAATAGATACAGAAAAGTTTTGGATACAAACTTGAATCGAATGAAAATGTTTAAAATTACATTTTATATCAGCAATCATATATTAATGGAAAGATATAAATGTGTATAATTATTATAATATTAATTTCTTGTTGAAAAACAAATTATTATAAATTATTTTTTACAATCAATGAATTATTTTATAATATATTGTCGCTTTTTTTTTGTTTTCATTTATACTGCGATATTTCATTTTTCATTTTATTAATAATTTAGAAATACTGTGTCCCAAAGAATCAAATGAGTTTTACATGAATAGTTTAATTTACATTCTTTATCTGTTTTATTTTTCCTTTTGTCTTCCAATTATGTATATATTTCACGTGGCAGTAGTATAGTAAATAGTAAATATTTCATTTTTAAGATAATCAAGAAATTCACCAATTTACCTATACAATCAAATTCTTCTTATATAAAATAATAACTATAATAATAATAATAATGATGATGATGATAATAATAATAGTAATATTAATAATAATTACAATAAAAATAAAGACTTAATAATAAACAATAATAAAAAGAAACAAACACAACTTTGGATCACGAAGCCAATTCAATCATAAAATAATATATATATATCTATATATATATATATATCATTTATATTAACCCGATAATGTTGTATTGTTCTCTTCCACGAATAATTTTGTCATTCAACATACATGCGCATCCTTCTTATTAATACTTAGCAAACTTTTCAAATTTATAAATTTTATTAATGCTCAATGTATTTCAAAAATACTCGGCTATCCAATGATATACCAAATTTAAGAAATGAACAATACACCTTTTAGTTATTTGTTTATTTTCTTTTTTAATGCGTAATATCCAACACAACAAAGCTTTTCAATCTTACTGTTTCATTAATAATAAACTATAGAAGCGAACAAAACAACAATCATCAGGTATCATATTTCTTGAGGAAGAAAAAAATATTTAACTTAGATATTTGAGTTTTACATGTTTTATAAAAAGTGTTAAAATGAACATAGCCATCTTAAACAATAATTCTAGTTTACATATCTGTTCTTTGATAGAGTGTTAATTGATTTTTTTTTCCTTTTCTCTTTTTTTTTTTTTTCTTATTACTTCACCGATCATATGAACAATCAAACACATTCGCTGAGACCATGTCCAACGAATTAATGAATATTCCTTCCTTCTCTGTTTTTCTTTTTCTTTTTTTTTTTTTTTTTTTTTTTTTTTATCTTTAGTCACATAGTTATAAATCAGGAGATAAGTGTCTCCGAATCATAAGCCTACGTATATTAATAATTTGAAGTTAATGAGTGTTTGTGTGTGTGTTTGTATGTATTTATGTGTGCGTGTGTGTGTGTGTGTGTGTGTGTATGTGTATATGTCATAATCGTAACACCTTATAATCTAAAAATACGCGAACGACTTAGGTTTATTAATTGTTTTACATAACCAAAATATTCTGTATTCTAATTTGTGAAGTATTTTTAGATTCTTTTATTCTTACAGTATAATCGTGTTTCTTAAGTCTTTTCGAAAACTTCTGTTAACCCCCAACCCCCCACCCACATGCCCGCCTCTTCCCATTTCTTGATTACAGAGTTCGATCACTTAATTATTTATTTACTTTATCTGATTCCCTTAATGCCCTTTTTGCAGGAGGCTCTTCGATCTGAAAATAAATTACACATATGAACACATACAAAAATAAATATTAATAATAATAATAATAAAAACAACAATCAAATATTAATATTAATTTACTTCCTCTTCCAAACCAGGTAATTGAATCCTAGTTTCGGATGCTTCAGCAGGCTGTAAAAATACCAATAATGTAGAATGTATTATTAAATTGCTTAATCATTTCAATAATATTGGTGTATTAAAGTGACTGCAATCGCTCAATGTCGCACGCTTACTGTATCTTACTTGTAACTAACTATTATAAGCATCCATAGACATTTAACAATTGTAAAATGACCTACTACTTATAATCTATATGTATATTATTTTACCTGCGCATCAATGCACTCAACTTCTCCAATTTGCAGCTTGAAATCATAATAATGTACAATAGTAGTTTTAACGAATACTTTATAGATTTGTGTTTTATTGTAAACGATGCAATACTAATTGTATTATTATGAAATTATTCTTACGTTCTAAGAATGATCTATTTAATCGAAAATGATTGAATTCTTACCCTTGCATCAGTTTCATTAGGACCAATACCAACTTCTTTTTGTTGTTTAGATTTAGCCCTGCGTTGTGGTCTTTCATTTACTGTGTGTACGTTATGTAACGTACTTTTACCTTTACTACTGGTCATATTTATTTGCATTTCTGTTGGTAGATAATTTTTTGTGTTAGCTAATTCGTCCGTACGTTTAAAGTACATTGTTGGTATGCGTGTTTCGCTTGGAAATTCTTTCATATCAAAATTAGTTGTCTTAGAATATATTACGTTCATAGCTATATCACATACGGCCCATAATTTCTGTGGAAACAAATATATGATGAAACATTTAACATTAAATTATTATTATTATTATTATGGAGACAAATAAATGATTAATCATAATCAGATAATTACATAATTCATATTGTTGTCTTCCGGTTTCAATGCATCTTTATGACTTTTCATACGTTCTATAAGGTTTTTATAAAACCCATAACAGTAATACTCATTCTTTGTAATAAGTGGCTCAAGTATAAACCATAGACATTGTTGTATGATTTTTAACTGACTAACTAGTAAATGACTCGTGAATTCAGGATCATGAGCTAAAATGGGAACTGCAAAAACTAGCATATAATCAGGCAAAATGTGCGGTAGTTGACCTAAAAAAGAAAACAATTGTAAACATTTATATTTATCATTTGATTTCTTCACATTTTTTGATAAAAATTATCAATTCGTGTGAGACATTAGCTTACTGTTTAGTTTCTTACCCATAGCCCGTTCTACAGTACCCAACGACAACGTTTTAACGTAATCTCTTCTTTTGTTTATATCAGTTTGCATATATGTTTTCAATAAACATTTCAATCTTTTATCCTGCTCTTTACCGGCTAAAGCATAATATCCCATAAAGTCTAATGGTAAACATTTGTTTGGTATTCCTCTACCAAGTCCTTTATGTAGTTTACTACCGAAAGCTTCCCTAACTTGAGGAACCTCGTCCTAGAAAGAAGAAATAATTGGATATATGAAACATCTACGATCACATAATCGTGATTTTATAAATATACATACCACCATAAGCTGGGAAAGATTATAAAATTGTTCGGCTGTAAATTGATCGCCAACACCTTTCTGTTCGCAAATTTTTAACATTGAACAACCAGCTTGTAACCGTAACCAACTCATCTCAGCTTTACTTAACCGTCCTTGTTGCAAGAGATCACCCTTATTTACAACAAATGCATTTAACATCCTAAACGTTTTCTGTGCAGACAAAACATCTGTTTTCAAACCCAACAACCAACGTGCCATACACTTTAAACCTTCTAGTCGACAACGCGTTTCCTCGGGAAGTTGATCTTCGCGGCACCATTCTCCTTCAATGGTATCAGCTGTTTGTTCAGTACTTTCTTTCACGAGCAATTCCTTAACAATCTGTAAGATCATTTTAAAAGGATTTTAACAAGGAATGAAAATGTTAATACAATTTTCTAATTATTTCATTAATATACGCTTTTTTTTTTTTTTTTAATCTGTTATACATACTTTTCTCGACACCATATTTTTTATTTGTACTTGATATTTATCAGGCAAATTATATGCTATGTGACCTAATGTAACTATAGAAGTTCGATAGAACTCTGATGTAGGTGTTAATGTCATTTTAATTCTTTCAATGATTTCTGGAAAAATTTTATCGTGAATATTGGTCATGTTAACGAATAAACACCTAACAGCTTGCTTAGCTTGTTTCGGGGTTCCTGTTTCAGCAAAATTTTTGCAGATTGGTACCATTAGATTCATAATATCAGGTGCTACCTCGCATAAAGGTTTATATTTTCCTAAAAATGTAAAGATCGATAGGACGAGTGGTCCTACCATTTCATCCTCGATTTTTAGAAAATGTACCAATTGCATTAGAATATCTTCATGAAGAAAATGCGGACCAAAGACAAAAGACAACATCTGCAAATACAAAATTACACACACACACAGACACACATTATCGTGTTAGAAAACTTTTTATATATGCCTTTTTTAATAATGACTTTAAAGGAAAACATAAACTTACAACCAACAATCTCAAACCCTTTTCTCCAGCATTATTCGGATTAAGACCAACTTCTTCTATTACATTACCTCCTTTTAAACAATCTAATACGTATCCTATCAAAACCTGTGAAATTGTTTGTATATTTATTAAGTTGCTTTGTAAAAATATACTTGCGTATATAAATAATCAAATATTTGACTCACTCTGATAGCTTCTTCATCGATCATGACAGAGCTTACTCTTTCCAATAACATTTTGATTGTATTGTAATATAAGTTAGTCATTACCGGTTGTCCCAATTTTTTCAAGACTAAACTTATTGTATCTGCACACTCCTTACAGGAAACATTAGGTTGAACGATAGTTTCCATTCCTTGTAATAATGCTGAATCTTTTCTCATATGTCCATTGAATTTTTGTAAAAACTCCTGCACTTTCATAGGATCGGGTAGAAATCGTGAAATTTGATGAATCTTTGTCACTAATTCATTGGAAGCTTCTGGTCGTTTGATAATTTCTAGCCACTCAACAACAGCTCTTCTTACTCTACAATTAAAACACAATGAATATTAAATGAATGTAAAATGATAATCATATATATAACATATGGTATACTCACGCAAGCTGATGCTTTTGCAATTCCACAAAAGCTTTAGATGCATGGTCATCGATAGTACCAAGTAAATGATACAATTTTTTCATTCTTTCTTCTGGTGGTAACTGATATGGAACTAAACATGTGTTTAATAGTCTCTCTACCAATAATCTATCTTCCATGCTTGCCATATAATAACCGTGTAATATTTTATCTTTAATCCATGTCACAGCTTTTTTTGTAGCCTGTGGTACGTCAGAATCGTTCAAGTGTTTCTTATATATCATAGCAAGGCCTGCCATAGCTTCTTTTCTAATTTTAAACTAACAATACAAAATATATAAATGATATATTTATAGATAATTATTATCATTTTGTCTGATATATGTAAGTTATTATAATACCTTCTTATCCAAGGTCCTTTCTTTAACGAATTCAAGTAAATCTTCGCTATCGGAAACAACTTCAAAATCTCTCCTAGCGGTAGTTACTATAGCCATAACCACTTCGTATCTTACACTTTCATCAGCGTCATGTTGTCTTAATTTTAAAGTATCAGTTATGTCTTTCCTAAGTTCTGGATGATTTAATAAAAAATGCATTGAATACTGGACACACTTAATACGAATGGAAACACTAATATCGTTAAATCTTCCCAAAAATGCTCTCCATAATTGTGTATGTTGAACAGCTAATTGAGAGCCTTTTTCTGAAAACATTCTAGCCAATAGTGCTACTGCTCCTAATCTTTCTGTTTCTGATGCAGATTTTAATTTACATTCTAATTGTGGAAGGACGGACAACAAGACGCTTGGACAGATATGATTTAATTCGTAAATCAAATCATATACTTTCTTACAAATTTGTAAACTTTTTTCTTCTTTTCCCAGTATCAGCACGTGATTAAAAAACTGTAAAGATATTGAATTGTAATTAAATTGACTATATCGTGTTTTCATTTGATATCAAACTTACTCCTTGAATGTATGACTCCAATGTATCGCTACATTTAATTATTAATTCTTTAGCAAGTAAATACGCATTCTTTTTTTGTGTTTTACTTGGTTCTACGATGTTTATAAGTATAATGTCCAATAGTTCATTACTAACAATATCAGATTCTGTAATTAGTGGACAAAGGACATCCAACATAAAACTTTTAACTTTTCCAGAATGTTCATCACTAGAAGGAAGATTAATAATAATAATAATAATTACATTTAACACATAACTATGATTGAACAATATTTGATTGAATTAATATTAAAGTAATGAATGTAATCCTTTTGTAAAGAAAAAGAGAAACTTACTTAACTATTTTAAACATAAGTGAGAAAAGGGCACAGAAAATTTCTTGACAGTCTTCGAGTTCAAAACACATGTTAAATGATTTGACGTATGCTAAATTTTCAAGGAGATAAAAATATCTTTTGAAAGCAGGATCTTTAGGATCTTTCAATCCAGCTAGTTGTTTGATTAAAAACAGAAAGATAGTTTTCACCTAGAAATACATAGAGAAGAATTAAGATTTATATTGATATATTTGATGAAATCTTTGAATTATAGTATATTGATAAAATTATTTCTACCTGTTCAGCATCTTTATAGGGTGCTTCAGGAGCATAAACTCTTAATACATCTGCAATACAGCATGCAATTAACAATTGAACATCTTTACTTTGATGCATCAAAAAGTGTTCTTCTGCTAAATGCAACGCTAATGGAATATACTGTTGATACATTCCTTCATCTTGGCCCATAGCTTGTAATGTATGAGCCAACGTCTATATGTTCAAATAAATACAAGAATTATCGATAAGAATTAAAAGCTACAACTTCATTTAATAAGCTCTACAACTACAATTATTTATAACAATTATACCTTAAGCCTTCTAATTAATTCATCTGGGCCTAGATCCTCGGTAACAGATCTACACCCTTGAGGGTAGACAATTTCTGACATAATGTTTATCAAGTGATCCAAGTATGTATAGACAACTATTTGTTCTTAAAGTAATCTAGAACACGGTCCAAATTCTGTAACGCAATCATCTCCTTTAATGATAATAATTTATAAAGACAAATTGTAATATGAATTGCATGAAATATTTCTATCAAGACGTTAACTTTTCTAGAATCAAATATAAAAGTAAATTAATATTAAAATAAGATAAAGATGAAATAAAATCTATGAAAAGACAATTAATTATACATTATTTGTTAATAATTTGTCATATATAAATATATACACATGTGTACACAAGTAAAGAGACATAGACATAGACAGTAATGTCTGTTTGGTGAATAATTATAAATCTCAGACAATTTGTAGGTTATGTCCGTTCTTGTGCACGTATACAACAGACGGCATAAACATAATATTATATGTAAAAATGTCGTCCTAATGATAAACTACTCAGTATTATATGTAAAAAAGTGTCAAATATATAATTATATCGATGATATATTTACCTCAAGATATGCATAGGCACTAAAAGTCCTATGACACTCAAAGTATCAATAAAGCAAATGTAGCTGGATGAACACACGGCACAAACTTAATTTTCAAAATGAATTCACAATATATTAAATTAATAAGTACGAACGTGTCGTCTACGACGTAACTTTTTGAATTTTCTGTAAATACTTGGCATCGTAAAAATAATCAAAAGGTCAGCGAAAAAGTGGCGAAATCGTTTTCTTAAACGGTTAAGCGTGTCAAAGGACGCGATAGCACAATCCAAACGTTTGAAGTTAGTTGCATATGGTTACATTTATATGACTCACAACTGATTCGCTTTTCAATTGGACAAATACATTATGATGCATAGACAATTATTGGTCGAATGAATTAATGAAAATCTAATTGACCAATCACGATTCTTTCACTTTTTTTCTATTTTACAACTTAAATTAATCGATCTAATGTTTCCATCACTTCGCGATACAGAGATTTGGCGGTTTCGATATTACCAATGGTATTGATAGGAATTTCGCGGGATAGGTGATTCTATTAAATCATTGGTTAATTCATAAATCACTTTAAAGCTCTGATTTACATCAAGATTATCAGTGTATTATAATACAATATATTATGAACAATTAATGCTATTTAATGCTATTTAAATATGGAGTATTTTTAATGTATATTTATTAAATGATTAGTTTGTCTAGGATAATATATCAAATTTGAATTTATTTTGACAACTTGTAATATTTATTCATTTGATTAAATGTAATATTGATTCCTTTTTAATTAAATTTTCATTAAATTATTATATAATATTTAATACTAATTCTTATCAAATATGTTAGTTCAAGATTATTAGTTTCGCTTCGAAATTTGACTTCCGTATACATTGGCGTCGCTTCCTTCTACTTCCTTCTACTTCCTTCTACTTCCTTCTACTTCCTTTCGAAGCGACACGTGCAACCATTACATAGTCTGGTTCAGCGCTGGTCAGTTTGTATTGGAATTGATTATCTCGACCAGGAAAATAATCATAAGCAATGGTAATTCCTTATTTTAACATTCAATTTTTCTTTTATATGTCTCATAATATAAACATAATAATCGTTTAATGTAATATAATTGCAATTGAAATATAATTTAAAGGTTATGTTGTAACATATATTATGTGTGTAGAGTATAGTATGGTATATATGCATTTAGTCGAATGCTTGTTTATAAAATCTCTCTCTCTCTCTCTCTCGCTTTCCTTTTTTTTTTTTTTTTAATTTATTTGCTTTGATTTATTTATAGGCAAGTACGAAGGTAGACAATCCTGAGAAGCCAGGACAAGAAGTCGCTCCTATTCATCGTATTAGAATCACACTTACTTCTCGTAACGTTCGTTCTCTTGAAAAAGGTTGATTTTTTTTTCTCTACAATTATTTAAATATAATGTTGATGAATTGTAAAAACAAGTTCTTTTTGTAAATGTATAGTGTGTTCCGAACTGATTAATGGAGCCAAAAAACAGAAACTGAAGGTTAAAGGGCCTGTTCGTATGCCTACCAAGATTTTAAGGATTACAACTCGTAAAACTCCTTGCGGTGAAGGATCCAAAACATGGGATCGTTTCCAAATGCGAATTCATAAAAGAGTCATTGATTTGTACTCCCCATCAGAAATCGTTAAACAAATAACGAGCATTTCTATCGAACCTGGTGTAGAGGTTGAAGTTACTATTGCAAATGATTGAAATGTATGAATAAGATTGTCTACAATTTTAATAAAAATGTAAAAACTGAACTTTATGTATTGATTATGTATATGAAAACCTTTTACACAAACTTTTACACAAGATGCTCTACTATATATGATGTTATATCTGGGACTCTATAGTTCACCGATAAGTATTTAACATCATCAACTTGCAATTTTTAAAATCTAAATATTTCAAAATGTGTTTCATTATAATATTATTCTATTCTCTATGTACGGGCTTAATGTTGTTAGAAGGAAAACAATATGTGAGTCATTGACATCAATAAAAGTAGAAGTATTTTTATTTGAGAGGATATTGTAATAAAAATTTTCAAATTTATCTATTACTTGGATTTATGAATAGATAAAAATTAGATAAATTTAAGCTTCTTCTGCAGATTCATGTCCTGTTTTTTCATTTTCTGCCCCTTCACCACCGCTAAAATCATCCATCATACCTTCTACTTCTTCTTCATCGTCGTCATCTCCAGCAACTTCTGCATTTTCAAACTCAGCTTTCTCCATTTGTCTTGCTAATTCTGCTTCATCGGTAGCAGTGACAACTTTAGGCTGTAAGTTAAATTTAAAATTTGTACATTTCTTCTAGTATATTTGATAGAAAACATGAAGTATAATAAAATGAAATCTTACAGCCATTTGAATATTAAATACTCCGCCTAAGGACGTTATTTTCTCTTGTATAACTTCAATAGCGTCGGTCAATGTTTTCAAGCCATCTTGTTTTTCTGGTGTTGATGTTGTCATGACTTAAACATATTATTTAACATTTGTATCGAATGCATTTCAATAAAATTCATAGTAACAAGGAGAGTGTAAAAATTAGAAATACCATATAAAGGAGGAGCAATTAAATTAATTTTAATAGGAAGTTCTTCGGTAGAAAGTGCTAAGCCAGCTTTTAAAGCAGTTTTAACCGCGTCAATTCCTTCATAACCATAACAAGCAACTTCTACATCCGCTCTAATCTTAACAGCTTGAGAAGTTAATTTCCTTTTGATATTATTTAATAATACTTCTTTCGTATTTTCATCAAGCCCACATTCTGCTAGAATAGAGGGATCTCTAAAATAGCAATGCATACAGATATTATTATTATTATTATTATTATTATAACGATAGAAAAAATGCAACTTATAACATTAAATAACTATAAGAAAACTTACAGTACTGATTGTTTAAAAAAATCATATGCAGAAGCAGCTTGCTTTTTATATTTTTCTTCAAAGTGCCATGCAGTTTTTTGATACAGTTCTTCTAACTGATCGTCATTGTCATAATGTAATAATTCAGCGACATGTCTTAAGATTGAATTAACAGCTTTAGCTTTGGCGTATCTTTCTGTACATTTTTCTACATCTTCAGCAGATACACGTCTTTTACTTAAATCAATGTAACCTATGTCAAATAAATTGAAGTTATATTTCACAAATGATATTTCAAATGATGAATACCTTTTGTTGATGTTACCTTTTTCTTTATCCACTCTAATGACAACAACTGGTTCAGTTTTGCCTACTCTAATAAGTTTATTAATAGATCTTATACGCCTTCTGGACAATTCAGAAAGTAATATCATACCCTCGATATTATTATACTCTAATAAATGTACATATGCGCCCATTTCGGCTATGCTTCGTACATTCACCATAACTACATCCTCCACTTCGGGATATTTTTCTTTGTAAAATCGACAGGACAGTACCATTTTGCTTGAACACAAACACAAATAATATAAATAACTTCTATATTATTAATCTATTAATCTATTAATTAATATAACCTTAAAAAATTAACATATTGCATCAGATATATACATACAGTAATATACATACTCTTATCACAAGTATAATAAATTATTAATAGAAAAAATATTCTATTTAAATAATTATCATTTTTATAATTACAAAATGTCTATCTTATGGTAAGTCACATTGTTGATTTCGTAATTTATTTATTCGTAAATGAAATGTCATTTTAAAAATTACCTAAATAATTATGTTCTTTCAACAAATATAATTATTTGTTCTTTTTTAGACAAAACACACGAATCGTTTAATATTCACTGAACAAAATATGAATAATAATCCATGTGCGATACTTATTTTTTAACCCAAAACTTGAAGACCAAATCGGCATGAAAAAAAGGACAAATTAGCGGCGTGTGTGTATTAGAATTTCGCCACAAATTGTATCTAGAAAGAAATGAAATGTATTTTTTTTTTTTCTTATATTTTGTTTCATAAAATATTGGCCAATAGGAAACTTGTATACTAACGCCATCGCATGTAATATTTCGTAAAACTATTTAAGGTTGTTGGCCAATAGGAAATATGAACACTAGCACCCCCAAGTTAGTATCCCTTAAACCTTTGATGTTTATTGAGAATTTGGACCCTGTGCTTTTAATGACAATCATTTTATGGTGAATCGTAGATGATATTCGAGTGTTCGACGTGTTCAGAAAAGGTTAGAAAACAAGTGGAACATCAACATGAACAGAACGTAGTCTAAATTTTCTACAGATGTTAAAAGATAAGTTGTATGTATCATTCGGCGTCCTTTGATCAGTTCAATTTAGAAAGGTGAAGTGTTTAAATTCAAAATGCCAGTTGTAGTGAAAAATTGCCCTCACATCGCTAATCGCGATCTTACGTGTCTCGAAAATGTGATTCCTTTAAAAGATAGATACAATAAGTGCAATGATTGTAATTGTAACGGACCGAATCTTTGGTTATGTCTTTTTCCTGATTGTCGTTGGGTCGCTTGTGCGGAAACACAATTAAATCATAGTACCCTACATAATCAAATGTTTCCTGCCCATTGTGCTCATATGAACCTTACTACCAACCGTATATGGTGTTATGCTTGTAAAAAAGAAGTTATTGCGAGATACGTATCCTCACCATCATTATCACCTAATCAAGTTGATGTTAAAACTATTGGGAACAAATTTTCGGGAGATGCACCTAATAATATTGATAATAAAATGGATGGTTTGGATAGGCTTATGTTGGACAAGTAAGAAGATCAAGATCAAGATTCAAATTTATTTATATTATATCATATCATATTATATTATTATTATTTATGATGTGCGTGTATGTGTATGTGTGTTGTTTGCTATCATTACTCTCTCTCTATATATATATATAATATGATATTGAAAAGGTTCAGATGAAAATCTGAAAATGTTTATTATTTATTTGTAGGTTCTATGGAGAATGGTGTGTAAATAAAGTGAATAATGATAGAGGCTTATTTAATGAGAAATCTGGGGATTCCCAGGAGAGTACGGATTCGGAGGAAAGTAAAGACTTATCTGGAAAACCTAGAGGCTTAGTTGGTCTTCAAAATATAGGTAATACGTGTTACATGAATTCAGCGCTTCAAGCTTTATCAAATGTGCCACCTTTAACACAGTTTTTTTTGGACTGTGGTCATCTGGTGCATTATATGTCGAAAGATAAAAAGCCTGCATTGAGTTTAAGTTATTTAAATCTTGTACGAGATATGTGGAATAGAAAAACGCGTGGATACGTTGTACCACATGGGATATTATCTGGTATTAGAACCGTTCATCCCATGTTTCGTGGATATCATCAGCATGACACGCAAGAATTTCTAAGATGTTTTATGGACCAATTGCACGAAGAATTGAAGGAACACATAGAAGATGACAAAGATCTGTTGCTAAGATTAAAAGGTCTTGGAGAACATTCATCCGATGATGATGATGATGATGATGATGATGAAACTGAAGTAGATGGTAATGGTTCAAGTCAATCGGATGCTGAATATGAAACATGTGATTCGGGAGTTAGCGAGCAGAGTTCTTTAAGCGACGAAGGAGAACGTGGTACAAAGAGACGTTATTCTCGCGTATCTCAATCGGAAAAATTGCGAAATAAGTTTACTAATAGAAGTATCAAAAAATCTAGCGTAGAGCAATCTTTTCCCCAACAACTACAACAACAACAACAACAACAACGCTCTGCTCCAAACTCACCTGCCAAACATCGTACCAAAAAACAAATGAAAACAAAAAGTATCATAAGCGATATTTTTGATGGTAAGCTATTAAGCAGTGTACAGTGTCTAACATGCGACAGGATTTCTACTAGAGTAGAAACATTTCAAGATTTATCCTTACCTATTCCAAGTAGAGATCATATTGATATGTTGCATCAAGGATCCCTTACACCTCAGAAAGCAGGACCCTGTTCCGATGTTGTTTACGTGACCAATCAGAATGGTTGGCTCTCTTGGTTTTTCCAATGGATGCGTTCATGGTTTTGGGGCCCAGTTGTTAGCCTTCACGATTGTTTATCTGCATTTTTTAGTGCCGACGAGCTCAAAGGAGATAACATGTACAGTTGTGAGAAGTGCAACAAACTACGTAATGGAATTAAATTTTCCAAAGTTTTAGAGCTACCTGAAATACTTTGCGTTCATTTAAAAAGATTTCGCCATGAGCTTATGTTTAGTTCGAAAATAGCAAATTATGTTTCTTTTCCATTAGAAGGATTAGATATGAGACCATATTTGCATAAAGAATGCGTATCCAAAGTTACCACTTATGATTTAATATCTGTTATTTGCCATCATGGTACAGCTGGTGGTGGTCATTACACATGTTATGCATTGAATTCTATTGTTAATAAATGGTTTGAATTTGATGATCAATGTGTTACGGAGGTAACACCAGACACTGTTAAGCATTGTGAAGCTTATGTGCTATTTTATAAAAAGTGGTCACCGGAAATGATGCAGCTACGAGATAGAACAATGGAACTGATGGAAATATCAACTCGTGAACCATCAGAACTTAATTTCTTCGTATCTCGACAATGGATTAATCGTTTTAATACATTCTCTGAACCAGGGCCTATAGATAATTCTGACTTCCTTTGTCCTCACGGCGGCGAAAATCCAATGACAGCACAAATAAGCGATAAACTTTGTATGCCTATACCACAAGCTGTTTGGGAATATCTTTATAATACGTAAGTTCCTTTGATTATCTAATTATACATTTTTCTACAATCATCTCTTCAATATTATATTATTCTTTTAGATTTGGAGGTGGACCAGCATGTACGCAACTTTACGAATGTCCAAGTTGTGAAGAAAAATATGAATCTTTGCAAAAAAGGAGACAATACGAGATGGAAATATTTCAACAATTAAATCACAATTCTGAGAGTCATGGTGCTATTTATGGTCTAGCAATGGCCTGGTTAAGACAATGGCAAAGTTTCGTTAGAGGTAAAGAAACTCAACCGCCTGGACCTATTGATAACAATTCGATCGTCGTTAATAAAAATGGACAGAATATACTCAAAGTTGGTAAGTTAAACAAAACAAAACAAAACAAAACAAAACATTGAATATTTCAATATTGTAATGAAATATCTCTCTCTCTCTCTATATATATATATCTTCTCTTTATTATAAAGTATATTTATTGTGTATGTATTTTGTAAAGGTTCAGATTGCGGCCAAATACCAGAAGAATTGTGGCACTTTTTCTTAAACACATATGGTGGAGGTCCAGAATTAATGTTGCATTCGTGTCAACGATCAATAGCGCCGCAAGTCAATACTTCATTACATTCCGCTTCAAGTCCAAATCTCACCGATCAAAGTCTCAAGTCTGGTCGTATGGAGATTAAGTCTAATAAAGTTGCCAGAAGTTCAGAAACTATTTCCCAGCAAGATAGTGCTATTGAAAGTATAACGTCCGATAGTGACTCTCATCAAACACAAAGAGATATCAATGAGTAAAAAGAATAATATGCATAATTAATAATACATCTGATGCATACAAATAAACAAACAAACAAACAAACAAGCAAACACATACAATACATGCAAGCAGTAACACTTATCTACTAAGGATAATTTCCACTAAAAACATTCAAAGTACAGCAAGATAAATGTGTAATAAAATGATTTAAATTTTGCCTTTATCTCTTTAGATGTTACTATGTTAAAAAGTACATTATTATTATTAGAAGACACTTTAAAAGTAAAAATATTTAATAATAATAAGGAAAGAATTGAAGTACACATTTTTGCTTGTATAATATAATGATAATACTAAGTGTTATTTAGATGAATCATTGATCATTTTTAATATAAATAGTCTTATTTACGTTTACAATCTGTTCATTTAATTTCTTTCTATTATCACATAGAAAGTCATAAAGTATTAAGTAATTTATGCTTGCTGGGTAACTATTGGTAGTACAAAAGGTTTGGTTTATAAAATATATTTTATTATTTCAACTATTAATTTCTTAAGTAGCCTTTTATTTCATTTTTTTTTGTTTTTTTTTGTTTTTTTTTTTTTTTTTTAATTCTTCTTTTTATTCTTCTTTTTCTACTTTAAATTGGTGACTTTAATCCATTTTCTTGAGGGTTTTTATATTTTCGATATTTCTATATTTATTATACTTGCTATATTTGTGTGTCATTCCTCAATGTACAAAATAATGTTATACAAAATTCTCCATACTTATGTACATACATACACGCCATTGTATGTTATATTATGCATTTTCTTAAAAAATAATCCGAACAAAAAGAAAAAACTAACAAGAAGATGAAAGACTGACAATGAAATCTGCTGCTATTACTTCTTGTTATCGTCGAAAATGATGTGTCAAAGTAATGATATTCTTATGTAAATATTTCATTACCGTCAAAGATAGCAAAAATAATTCTTAACGGGAATTTAGAATTTTCAGTTTTTAGAAGAAAAAAAAAAAAAAAAAAGGAAAAGTATATTTTACATTATAATAGCACAAGTGTTACCAAAAAAATTAGATATGCTAATTAATATGTAAAGAGCATTAGTTTTATTAGACATTTTATCAATTTATGTTTATTATTATACAGCTCATTTTGATAGTTAGTATTAAAGAAATGAATATAAGAGAAAAGTAAATAAAAAGATAGAAAAATGTTCAGCATTGAAAAATTAAGATAATAAAAATTAACGTAAATTAATTATCCTAAATTAAACTGTATGAAAAGTTTAAGATAAGTAATAATAATCGAAAAATAATTAATTTATTATTCTCTTTTTTTTCTATTGTTTTTTTCTTTCTTTATTATTTATTAATATATGTATATATATATATTTTTAATCATCATCTATCAAATTTGATATAAACGGGCTTTTAAGATTTGAAACAAACAACTTTATAATTATCTAAATAGATGTGGTATAAATAAGAACTTTCTTATCATTTAAGAGTAGACATATATATATATATATATATATATATAATTTTTGTGAATATTATTATTAAATATTATATATATGATCTAACAAGCTTGATGTAATTACACTTTAGTATTTATAAGTAATAATATATTACACACTTTCACACACGTGTATAAAAATAAAAAAATATCATTCATTATTGGACAAGATAAAAAGAAAGAAAAAAGAAATGTATTTTCAATAACGATTGATCGCTTTGTGTGCAATATTAAAAATAATGAAGTAAAATATAAAAGATGCCTCTTAAACAAATTGCATATGTAAATAAATAGACAAAAATAGAAATATCTTAATTATTGTCATTGGTACTCTTGCTATTATTGTTATATATACATATATATATATATATATATGAAAGGAAATATTTTTACTATCTCATCGAATTTCAAATACAGACACATACACGTTCACACATACGTATATAAGAAAGAAAAATAATTTTAAAAAACCAAATTTGGAATCTTATAAATATTAAGCCATATAAAGAAAAAAAAAACTTTGACTTCTGGTATATTTCACGTGGTTGATGCATGAATTATTTTTTTAAGAAATGTTGGAATAAATCATTTATCCTAAACAATCGCAGTTCCATCTTTTGTATGATCCAAAGAAATTGTTTTTGTACTCTTTGATTAATTGGAAACATTGATTTCATTTTTATATGAAAATTTAGACGAAATCAATATTAAATCGAGATTGTAAATTAGATGAAGAAATTGAATGTTTTAATTGTAATTTTTCGGAAAAATATGTTGATGACAAAATGAATAAACAAATAAGAGATAGGATCCATTGACATAGAAACATTAGAAATCTTTGACAAGGAAAATAATAAAATAATAAATAAAAAATAAATAAAAGGTATATGTGTTATTGTAAAAAATGGTGTTTGACGAGCGTGGAATGAGATGTAATATAATATCTCATCATTTCATGGACCGCGAGTGGATGATCGATCGAGCCCTGCGCGTTTGAGGGATGCTGGCCATATTCCCCAATCTTCCATCCAATCCCAGTAGTGAACAACCCTCCCTTGTTCAATGCGACGATTAAGGGTTCGTGATTAGGAACTGGAGGATCACCCATAGACCGCCATGTTCTCCTTGTGTTCCTCGTAGTTTAGTCTAATCATTTTCTAATCATTTTTATTCATATTCTTATTCTATTAAATGGATTATTATTCTCCAATTCCGGATCAATTTTTATATTAGTTTCCCTGACAATCCTAAGGTTTTCCTTATTCAACGAGAAGAAGAAGAAGAAGAAGAAGAAGATCAGTAGAGTCTCTTCCCCAGGAAGAAGGTTCGATCTTCTATTTTAATTTCATCTGTGAAAGAAAAGATATAATTCGATTTTGTAAGTAATATTAATATTTCTTATTTATTCAAATTTGATTTCTATTCACATCATTTTTCATATATTTTGTAATAATAATATATTATATAATAAGATTATTTTAGAATTAGTAAGAAATTGGAAGGATCTTTTTTGAAAATCTATAAATACGAATAATTGTATGTTTCATTTTATTCTTTTTCTTTTTTTCTTTCTAATATTCTCTCTATATATTATTATTATATTACGCGATACATACTAATCGATAATCCATCGTATTTGTATTGTCCTAGATTCGAAAGAAAATCTTTCAACAAGATGACTAGTTTCAAAGGATTTTATATACCATCGTTTGGGGCGACAGTTAACGTTGCTTGGGAAACATTAAAAGCTAAATGGCCAGAAAATAGTCCGTGTATGGAATTAATTCGTGGTACAGGCATGGCTGGTCAAGGTGATCCTCAAGCTCGTACAGGTGAATTTAAATCATTCGGAGAAGGTGAAGATAATACCGAGATGACAATGATGAATGGTGAACAAGCACAAAGAGAACAGAACAACGTTGCTGTTGCTGAAGATTCATTTAGTTATCAGAGAAATGGGTAAGTTATTTTTCATGAGTATTAGAATGAAGTTAAAGAAGGAATTATTGCAATAGATTTTGTTGTTTTCTGGTTATTTTTCTAGAGACAAAGGCAGAACAGGAAGTTTAAGCAGTGGAGAGTTCAGCGAATATGACGAAGGTGGTGGAGAATTCGGTGGACCTGGTGTGAAGATTAATGAGTGGCAAGCAGCATGGAATGTTACCAATGCCATTCAGGTAGTAATCAAATCACAGTTGAATTCATTAAAAAGAAATCAAATGAAAAGTAAGAATATTTAAATAAAGCTTTTGTTGAAAGTTTCATCAATTAAAAAAGAAAACGTTTGCTTTCAGGGTATGTTCATCGTATCTCTACCATTTGCAGTACTGCGAGGTGGTTATTGGGCAATTGCAGCTATGGTCGGTATTGCACATATTTGCTGTTACACCGGTAAGATTCTCGTTGAGTGTTTGTATGAGTTAGATACAGTAACAGGGCAACGTGTCAGAGTACGAGATTCCTATGTAGCCATTGCTAAAGAATGTTTCGGCCCAAGATGGGGTGCAAGAGCAGTCAACATTGCACAAATAATAGAATTGTTGATGACCTGCATCTTATATGTTGTTGTTTGTGGTGATTTAATGATTGGCTCTTTTCCCGAAGGTGCTATCGATACAAGAAGTTGGATGATGCTGATAGGCATATTTTTACTTCCACTTGGGTTTCTTAAATCATTGCAACACGTTTCTATGCTCAGCTTTTGGTGTACAATGTCTCATCTTTTCATTAATTTCATTATCGTCGGTTATTGTATCTTGGAGATAGGTGATTGGGGATGGTCCAAAGTTAAATGGACTATTGACATGAAAAACTTTCCAATCTCGCTTGGTGTAATTGTATTCAGTTACACCTCTCAAATCTTTCTACCTACGTTAGAAGGAAATCTGATAGATCGTTCCAAATTCGATTGGATGTTAAACTGGAGTCATATAGCTGCTGCAGCCTTTAAATCTCTCTTCGGATGGATTTGCTTTTTGACTTTTCAGAATGATACGCAACAGGTGATAACGAATAATCTTCACTCGGCTGGATTCAAAGGCTTGGTCAATTTTTGTCTAGTAATCAAAGCTGTATTGTCTTATCCTCTGCCATATTATGCTGCCTGTGAACTCCTCGAAAGAGCATTTTTCAGAGGTCGACCGAAAACTATTTTTCCTACAATTTGGACAGTCGATCGAGAGCTCAAAGTTTGGGGTTTAGCATGGAGAGTCGGTGTAATTGTCTTTACCATTCTCATGGCTATATTCATACCACATTTCAGTATTCTCATGGGTTTCATTGGCTCCTTCACTGGGACCATGTTGTCTTTCATATGGCCTTGCTACTTTCATCTGAAACTTAAAAGAAATTCTATGGAATGGAGTGCAGTGGCCTATGATTGTTTTGTCATCTTTTTAGGTATACTCTTTGGAGTTATCGGTGTATATGATTCTGGCACTGCTTTAATCGATGCCTTTGAAATTGGTTTACCTTTTTAAATGTTTCCTATTATTATTTCTATTTTTATTGCTTTCATTTTTTCATTCATCTCGTCTCACATACCACAAAGTATGTAGTGTCCTTTGGAAATAGAAAGATAGACAAATGGGATTTTTATGGGATTATTCTATTACACCTGGTTGCATCATCCTGGTTCTTCCAACGATCTTCGAATTCTACAAATCAAGTGTCTTCCATTTAATATTGCTTAGGGTTCTGTCGTAATTAGAAATATTTTCATGATATATTGTATATTTAAATTCAACCAGAACTGACATATCTAACAATATGCAAAATAACAAAGAAATAAAAAGAGAAAAAAGGAAACAAAAAGGTTTAGAAAATAAGAGATGGAAATTTGATGAATCTAGAGTCTTCCAAAGTAAACATTTCTTTTTGGAACAATTCTAAAGAAGCTTTTTAGATAATTCATTTAGATTACATATCGTCAGATAATGTAATCTGTAAGCATCGATGTCTTCCACATTGCATATACAGATTTTTCTGTCAAAGGTGAACAAATCGTTAAAGAGAGAACGAGTTATTGGATTTTATAATCCTGATTGTGTACCTAATAATTTTTAAGTATGCTTTGAATAAGAAGCACGTCATAATGACATTCGATGGTCACAATTACAGTATACTCTCTTGCAAAAGATATATAGAGAAAAAAAAAGAAAGAAACTTTAAAAAAAGAATTATCCCTCGTGTTTGTGCCATAGAATATGAAAGATAGTTTGCCTAATCGTAGATGCATTGAAATTATGTGCCATCGAAGGTTAAATAATCAAATAAAATTAACGTGCAAAATATTCATCGAGTGCTAATTAATAATGCACTTGATTATGTATGTAATATGTACAAGAAAATTGTACAAATTAATTTAGTCTAATAATCCAACGTCTTCCACAGTTTGTAAAGTCTGTTTAGAATATATATATATATATATCTTACAATTAGTTTTAAGTAGATGTATAACGTGATTGCGTCGATAATTCAAATGATAAAGAATGTTCTCTCATTGAATACATTTCAACAATTTGATATAGATTTAATATTATACATTTAATCTTTATTTTATTTTTTCAAGTGTTTTTTTTTTTTTTTTTAATAATGGTTTCTCAATTTGAGAACATTCAAAACGTTATAATAATTTTTAACTTTTCGATAGATCAACAGAATTGAATTTTTCTATTGCAAAATTATTTTTAAATTAGTTTATATATATATATATATGTTATTCAATAGTGATAATAAGTACTTAGAATCAGAGAGTTACAATTACAATATATAATAACATAATATAATTATAGTTGAGTTAGCTTACACATATGAAATTGAATCGATATTTTTGATTTAAAATGTAAAAATATATAATGTTATGCTATCGAAATGTTAATTATTACAGTAATTGTTAATTAATAATCACAAATTGAATTCGTCTTCCAATGATGTTTTCCAAAATGGTAATAATAATTATGTATCACGATTTATTGATCGAGATGAATCTTTGTTAATAATATTAAACGTTATATACTGAGAGTTTTAGCCGTTAAGTATTAACATTTAAGGTCAAGGATTATCAAATTTAATATATATATATATATATATATATATAACTAGATGTAAAAATTAAATGTTAATTCACTTTCGACAATGATTTGATTTATTACTAAATGCAAGAACAGCTGATAAACATTCTTTCTTTCTAAAACACTTGTTCATAAATATATAACAACAATTTCTTCTTCAGTAAAATCATTTGAAACTCTACATATCTATTTTTCTTTTGCTGTATCTTGCACAATTGAACGTACCAAAAAAAGCCTTTCTCATTTTTGTATCTGTGATTAATGATATATAAGAGGCTTTCTATTCCAAGACAATAATTAATTCTCTATTCGCTCTAATTAAAATATATACCGCAACAAAGTTAAATACGTACATATGTACAATATGTACAACAATAAAAACTGTTCAATTATATATAGATCATATATAGAAACTAATTTCTAATATTTCTGATCAAAGTTATATCATCCTGATATAGTGCTACGTTGTTACTATACATTTGCATAATAATAATAATAGTAATAATAATAATAATAATAATAATAATAATAATAATAATAATAATAATAATGCCAATAATGATGATGATGATGATAATAAATGTGTAAAATGAAAAAACTTTCAAATTGAAACCATTTGTTCATTTAGATTCAAAATCACTCTGTTAGAAGTGTCATCTTTAAACAACGATGCATTAAAAGTCAACTTGATCAATGTTTTTTCGTGTAGTTTGAATGTATGTATAGGAGTTTCACATAATGATATAATCAGGCGCTTCCCTTATTAAAAAAGAAAAAAAAAAGAAAGAAAAAAAAACAGAGATTACAAATAATATATAAATATAAGAATGAATGAAAATAAATTATCAAAATTTTATGAAATTGTAGTTTACTTGTAGTACCTGTTTCAGTTGAATTATTTTAATCAAACCTTTCTCTAAGATCCAATTTCAATTTTATCTAGAAAATGCAACTTTCTTCTCTCTTTGGTAAAAAGTTATAGATAAAACAAGAAATGAATTTTTTGTTACGTGTCATGCTCTGAATATTCTGCATCGGTGTATATAAGGTATGCTCATTTCAAATTCCATAGTAATTGTCATTTAACATTGCTGTAATAATATCATTATTTGTTGATTTAATGTCATGTTATTATTAGAAAAATTAATTTTTATATGCTGCTTTTTGTGTTTAGTAATGTATGCATTATCGAATGATAATAAGACAGACAAATCTTACTATGAAAAATATGGTAAGGTTTTCAATAATATTGATTAATATCTATATTTGAATTAAGATTTTGCTTACTTTCATTAAAGAGAAAAGTCCACGTGTTAAAATAAAAGTATTTCGTGGTCCAAATGAAGAAAGGAATGGTGAAACATTTGCCAAATGGGGATTTTGGATAAAACAACCACGTGGCTCAACTGTATATACCCATACTACTACCTAATGCAAGATTTTTCATAGAATAAATTCTGTTTTATGTGAAAGTTTAAATTGTTACTTTGTTTGTTTATATTTCTTCATGATCTTTTACAGAAATTAAAAGTAAGTTACGCGGAGATAATTTTGCATCAAATACTGGTTTTAATATTGGATTTAAGTTTCTTTCTGATAGATATAAAAATCTATCCAAAAGTACTAATGTTTCTACCAGTGGTGCAAGTAAAATTCTAAGAGAAGAAAATATAACGATTTTTAACCAATAATCTAAATAATGTTCTATTTCCGGTCCTTCGAGATCCGAATCCTTTGGCTGTAATTCAGATTGAAGATGACGAGTGGCAAGAAAACAATATCTGAAAATAAATAATATGTATATGCACTTCTTAAATTATCTAATATATTTTATAATATTTCAAATCTTGTTTTCTTAACTGTTTAAATGTCATATCTCCTGTTACTTTAACATTTTTCAATTGACTATGAGAAGGCAACAAATCTCTTTCTGTGAGTATATTTTCTAAAATCGCTCTGTAGGTGTGTACCTGAACAAAACAAATATGTTTATTAATTTAGATCAAAATGTTGTTAGAATTTGTCATATGAAATGATGTCATGTACTATTAAATCTGTATAGTTGTTGTTCTTCAATTTATCGCAATGCTTTTCAATAGCGTGGCAAGCCACTTCCAAAGCATTATATGAAAGCTTGTGATTCTTAAACGACTTGTACGAACTAAGTGGATATCCTTTCTGTTTGTTTCCATTATTAGACCTAATGAAAAAGTCTCAATATATTTAAAGAATTCTTTTTTTCATACATAATAATATAAATAAATAGAAAGGATAAATACTCTAACGTCATTTTCATATAACAACATCCCACGATGCACATGAATCTTGCTTCTTTGTTTAACGAGTATAGATTTAAAAGAATTGACGCTAAATCCCCACATGGATGTAATCCAATAATTCCATACTTAAGTGATTCTGTATTAATGTTATAAACATTTGTGAATACTTTGTGTAAATGCTTTTTCATTTCTGCTCTTGCATGATCAGAAGTTTCTAACTTCATCGATATATGTTCCAGTTTAAGAGGAGCGAAATTAGGTATATGTTTACGTATAGATATCAACAATTGTTCGTCGTATAATCTACAAATCTCATATATAATAGAATCTATTTGAACAACACAACACTGTCAACCATTAGATTGATATAATAAGTTTACCTAGCTTTTGTTGATAATAATTCATCCTGTTCGATACAAGCTACACGTAATCCATATCGGCAAGTTAACATTCTAGCTAAATGTCCAAGTCCCGCTCCAACATCTACTGCAGATTTGCAGTCTGACTTGTAGGCATAATATGCGCACATCTATGTTTTATATATATATATATTTTATATAAATAATGTTAATTAATAATTATGATTGTATTGAAAAATAATTACCTCTGCCATTTGTTCTATCTCATGCGTCTTTTTCTTCTTCACATGTTTTCTGAATAATTTTATAAATTGTGAAGAAGCAGAATCCGAATCTCCTAATTGTTTTTGTTTGTTATCCGACGAATATAAAGAAGTTACTTCTTTTGATTCTTTCTTGAATTTCTTCATTCTTCCACATTGCAAAACATTACTCAAACTCTTGTAATTTCTATTCAATTGTAGATCATTTATAACTTTATGTAATGCCAATAACGACAGGGGTAATATTCTTTTACTGTATAAGAGATACATTATTATTAATCATATATATAATATAGAGAAATATTTGTTTATATGAATTAAAATCAATTTGTAAATTATACCAAGAACATTCTCCTGACAACCATAATCCAAATTCGTCTGGAGGTATATCCTGTAATGCGAGTTTCCAACTTGTTGGTAACTTGTCCCATAATTTTTCTTTATAAAAATCCTATAAAAAATAATTATACAAAAAATTAGAAATGTTATAAAGCTATATATGTAAATATTAATCTAAAGATTAAGATCGAATTTCATTATTCTATATACAAATATGAAAGCATAACTTGATTTGTGGTTACGTACCACTACATAAAAGTCTAGCATCCAGCCATATATATCTAATACACAAAATATTTGATCTATTCTTAAACGCACACTTTGACAAATATTACAATTACATTCTATAATTGAATTGTTAGTTGAAGTCATGATTGATTATAATAAAAATTATCAAAACTTTTGAACACGTGTAAGTGTGTGTACGTACGTATGATACAACATAAAGAAAATAGTGTAGTGTGTTATACTTTGCTTTGATTAAAAAGATTCAATTTCATAAAAATATAAATTTAGATTAGTTATATTTAAAAAATTGGTATATTTTTCAAATTAAACAAAAAAACAAAAAAAAAGAAAATGTTTTTGTTTATTTAATATGTTTAATAAATTGGATGTTCGTCTAGGTTAGTTCTGTTGATAAGTCTGCTAAGTTGACTCCATACTTTACATTTAAATTGGAGTACGTCATTCTTTCTACTATTATCATCTATTTTTGGATGACGGTGGATTGTCTATTTTTTCATCACAATGGTAAATAATAACAAGATATTAATTTATTTATTTTGAATTATGAAAAATAAGATATATTAAAGTTTAAAGACATGATTTGATCCCATAATGTAATATAACCTATCTTATTTCAAATATCTCATATCATAAAATTGTATTAATATTTATTTTAATTTTATAATAATCATAATTATAATAATTATCATTTTTAAATTAAAAATTAGGAAAAAAAAAGCGTTTACTAATTTCTGCCATATTTGGCAGTCTGCAATATTTAATTTTCAGAGTCTGGTGTGTGTTATACTTCTGTTAATATGTACCTGTACTTACATCAGATCTATCGCTCCAAGTTTTTTAGATAATCGTTTAGGAAAAGTTGGGTAAGTACAAATGATTTTATTCTACACGTTTAAATTTACACGTGTCAGATAATTGCATAAAATATATCATGATATGATGATTTTATTGATCTTTAGGCATATTTATATATTATTATACGTTAGTTTGTATCCATTTTATATTTGAAATATTACTTATACAAATTATTATTTATACACATGCTTGTTAATGATTTTTATTATCAGGTTCCTTGGCTTGTTTTGGAAATGTGCACGAATTGGAGAACGGAAAAGTCCATACGTGGCATTAAGTTGTATTTTCATGGCATTTAGTATTTTATTCTGGACATAGACTAGACATTTTTTCAATAAATTTTTATAAATTTGTACAAAGATATTTTGGAAAAAGATATGGAAATGTTCGTAACATTTAATAAGGTATGAATGATTTAATAGAAACAAGGAGTGCATGACAAATATTTATCGTTAATATTTCTTAGAAAACAGAAGAAGAAAAGAAGAAATTCCTTTTAAACGAACTGTAATTTATAAAGCAACAATGATTTCTAATTGCGGTGTAATATTTATTCATCAACACGTGATTCCTTCCAAAGCCATAGAATTACATGATCTTCGGAGCCTTTTTTATTTCTTTTTAAATTATTTATCATTTTATTTTCACAATATATTTTCTATAAACAACAACATATATTCTTTTTAATACAATTAATATAGGATTATTATATTAACTTTGTTGAGTATCGCTTTGTTATATATATATATATATATATATATATATATATATATCGGGTTTATTAAATAGTTACATTTATCATATCTTTAATATCGCAGATATTCTAAAACTTCCTCACACAATAATGCTAAACCACACGATGTGATCTAAAAATTGTACTCCGCAGTAATCGACGTTAACTGTCATACATAATATTGAATGTAATTCTTGTTGTTCTTAGTTGTATGCATGTACTTATTTTATTTTATACATTCGTTTATCAACGTTTACTATCGATTCATGTCGTTTTATCTACAGAGTAAAATACGCTTTCCAATTATGTAAAATAAGTTTCCAATTGTATGTAAGTAATATCATATACTACACGATGGAAATTATTATTTAATTTTGCAATTGAAAATATAATGATATAATTAATACTGCAGATTCATCTTATATGACGATGAAGAATATAAAGAATTTGAATAAGAACAAAATATACTTTGCACTTTGTCTAAGAAAGCGTACTTATAAATAGCAATTCCGGTAATTTATATAAATTTATCACGTTCACCGTATATCCATCATAATATATGATACATATATATATATATGTATATAATATTTTTGTCTTCATTGATTACATTTACTTAAGAATAGAGGATAATGCTACGATATGTATTAAATGATAAAGCGATACACTTTTAAAACTGATATGTATTATTACACTACAATCAAAGTTAATTTACATCGAAACATTTTGGTGCTTTTTCTTCTATGAGGTAGAAAAACGACCAAGTTTATATTTGTCTATATATATATATATATGATTATTATGATCAGGCATTTGCTTTTTTCCTGCTACCATGCATCGGATACAAAAAAGATAATTTTTCACATAAAATGTTATCTTTTTATATAATACTGATAAGTTAATTAAATTATTATAATATTATATACAATTATATCGTCTTACATACAATTATTGTCACTTTGTGAATTAAAATTTTAAGGAGAGATATATATATATATATATATATCTCTATATAGGGATATATAGCATTTGTAACTTCGATACAAAACATTGGAACCATTGATAAATTTATAGAGGAAAAGAAAAAGTAAAAATTGAATATTTAAAAAGATAATTAACAAGGTGAACAGCGCATTTTTCCAAATTACTTTTAATCAAAATAAAAAACAATTTCTCCAATGTAAAATATATTTTTTTTTTCTTTTACTACGTAATCCTCTCTTCATATATTATATACTATTTATTTAATAAATATATATTTATATAAAGGTAAAATTAATTACAAAAGTTGATAAAAAATGTATCTAATTTGAAAATGACGCGACTATTGGTCAATTTAAATGACTATTACTATATGAGATAACTTGCTTCCTTACCGACTATCGAGAAAACAATGATAAAGAAATGATAGATAAAACAAGTAATGTCATCTATTCAACTTATGTCGCTGTATATGAAATTTATGATTATGAACCTTTATATATGTACATATCAATATTATTACCGAACAAGCTCTTAAAAAAGGTCGATAAATAAAAAGACAATGTTAAGTTAATATTTCTTATAGGTATAAGTTAGTATGCTAATTATTTGTCTGCGTTCGAATAAAATCGAATAGTTAGATTTGGTAGTGCCTATTCGCTCGTTATACGAAAATTCTTTAATTTTACAACAAAATTAATGATATTTCATTAACAAGTACGACCAATAAATACAAAGGATATTCGTTTCAATCGCAGCACCCCATTGCCGTTACCAGAACGACGTGTCTATTTGTACAGGGTGAAACATAAACGAGGACTTGGAAAATTTAAAAACTACCCCTAAAAAGAAAATTGATACATTTGTTTCTCATAAAATCCATGCATTTGGTATTGAAACTTTTTGATTAGACACATAGTTAAAAAGTTCTTTGAGATATGTAAGTTTTCGAATCACCCTGTATACTGTATAGTATTTATTTGTCTTTTTTAAAATCATTATTAAATAAGTATATAAGTAATACTTATGTTCGCAGTTAACCACCGACAATGGAAGATAACGTCGAAACGTCTACCTTTATGGAGACTTATATGTCTATCTATCTGATGTAACGATATGCAGAAGGGTTTGGGAAGGAAGGGGAAGCATATAGAAAGGAAGCTTTCTATTGCCACCTAACGTACGAGCAATACATATATGTAATATATTACACATGTAAGTGTTCACTTTCCTTTCCATCTTTTTGTTATAAATTTTATTTTGCTTTTTTTTATTACGTAATATCGGTTTACGAGAGTCTCTCTCTCTCTCTCTTTATTCCTGTGTTCATGCATCGTTAGGTGGAATTATTATATACAACTCGGCATATCCTTTCAAAATGTTTCCAACTTTATGGTTATTTGTAATGCACAGTTTGATTAATTCGAATTTCAAAAATGTTTGTTAAGTTAAAAACTGGACGAACAGAACGGCACTAACGATGCGTTCAAAACATGACCCCTTTAAGGCTTTCCGACACACTAACCCGTTATACATATATATATATAAAAGTACCCCGTAATTTTCTATCGAAAAAGTAAATGAAGGCGATCGATCGATTTCATAATGAAAGGCTTCGTTTAAAAATACTCGAGATTAAACGTTCGATGAGTTTTAAAACGAAAAAACAGTACGCTTCATCCATAAGTATGTATTTTTCTTTTTTCTTCTTCTTCTACTTTTTGTTTTTTCTTAAATTTCTTTTCATTCGATCAAAGTCGAAACCAAAAAATGGTTTCATAAAAAATACATTTGCAAGTATCGTTCAATATCTCTCATTCGCAAAGTTTCAAATTCCCAAAGAATGCCCTAACGGCATTTAAACGGCTTTTCTTTTTTCATTATTACACATACCTATTATCATCATTTTTTTGTATTAATACCCTAGGGTCCAGACACAGCCTAGCAAAAGATAAGAGAATAGGGGAGAAATAGGGGAGAAATAGGGGAGAGTTATGGAGTTCAGAATCGGTCAGTAATCTATTCTTTTCCTATGCTTTTTCCGATGGAATGGGATTATTAATCAATAAATAATAATTGATCCTTTATCGTATGGTGGATAAAAATGTTAGGCAGATCGTATATATTTGTTTGTTGAATATAAACCTGCCAATGTTGGCAACGTTTTCTACCTTAGACTCTTCTTCTTTAGATTTAGTTTCTTCTCCACTGTAAGCATTCTTCCCTTTTACGATCAACGATCCTCGTGGATTTACGGTAGTAGATGTTGTTGAGTATTTGTTACCGATGATCAATCGAGATGTGCTCTTCTGCATCGCTGGGGTGCTCAGCTGGTGGAAAACTCGATTGACCGTAGATACCCCAAGAATGCTTTTTGATTTATTACCTTTGTTTTGTTTTTTCCAACTTGGTGAGGTTGCTCGCGTTGGTAAAGTCGCACGTTCTATTTCTGTCAAATATATAGATATATGTGACGAAGTATAATAATCATCATCTTAATGTTTTATATTTTCTACGACATACCGTATACCCTGATAGTAGCTTCGGCTTTTCCCATACTCGAGGATGCCGAACACTTGTATTCTCCTAAATCTGTCTTCTGAAGACTCTTTATCTTAAGCTCTATAGTCGTCTTCCATTCTTCCTCTGGGTGGCTCCGTTCATCGATCTCGTATCTGTCGCTACATTGACAGATCGCATTTGCTTAGTAGCAAGTGTATCAAGGCTCAATGGAAATGGAATTTCGAAAGATACGTACCCGCTCATGATCACTTGCGCCTTTCGAGTCCACAGGTTGATCGTCTTTGGATAAGCTTCGATCGAACAGATTAACGAGACATCCGTATCCAACGGCGAACCCAATAATTGATTTCCTACTTTTGCGCTTGGGGGAACTGAAATTAGTCAATAGATAAAACCTGTCCCATAAGTAAAAATACAATTATATTTCAATATAATTGTATATTTTGATTTGATTGTTGTTTTTTCTTCTACTTTTTCCCGCTTACGAATAAATGGATGGAAAATGAAAAAGACGTGGAGAAATTAGCGAGCGTGGTTACTTACAATTTACTCTGAGGTAGACTCTTTTGCTGACTGTCGGTGGTACTTCGTTTCTGGCTATGCAAAGATAAGCTCCCATTTGCCTCCTGTCTACCCTCGTTAATTCCAGCTTCTCGCCGGACTGGCTGTCCACTATAAAATCACCCCTTTCGTATGAATATCTCGTTGAAAGTTCACTTATTTCCCACGATATTTTCTACATCTAACACGTAATTATATATAACGTTATAACGTCAACCATTTGGAATGATTATTTTTCCTAACAGTCTTTCTGCATACCAAAACATTTCACCTCTCTATCTAACATTTATTATAAAATCAAATCAAATCAAATCAAATGAAATCAAATGAAATCAAATGAAATCAAATGAAATCTAAATGATAGGCAATATCTTTTATCTATCTATATACTTTTATGTATCCAATAAATAGATTTCTTTCTTCAAACGCGGATAAATGATTTCCCTTTAGAATATTTTCCCTGGATATTATTCACGAATAACGAATAACGCAAATGCCAGACAATTGAACATTATGGCAAATATGCTCACGGCTACCATATGGGTAATAAATTTAATTTACGCTCGAAACGATCGCATTTATGAAGGACATTTTCAAATGGGCACCGATGAATGCTTTGAAAAGAATATTGACAATTGATTCACGTACAAAGTAGACGTTTTTTTTTCCATGTATTGATATGTCGATATATCTCTATGATCTTAATTTCATACACATGTGTATAATCGTAATATCTATTTGTTTTTTTGATTTCGTGAAATTTCGCAGTTAGATATTCGGATAAAGGACGAAACGAGTTTGCTATCTCTTTTTCTCTGGCATCCCTTTCACCCAGTTCAACCCCTACACTCATTCCTTTTCATCTCTCCTCCCCATTCTTCCCCTTCTCCTGCCATAAAGCTGTAAAACACGAAGGTGTAATTCGACGAAACACGGTAGGATGAACCCCGAGTTCTAATAAAGATGAAAAGGTGCGTTTTTACGAGACACATAGCTTTTTATGGAGGTGAATTCGAGGAGGAAGATCTAAAGGAGGTTAAACCGAGTTGCCTAGGTCGTTTTACTTCTACTTGTTCGATCTGTGATAAGAATGTAGTAGGGTTGCTCGAATTCTTCTACAATTTGAATAATGTATTTAACTATATATACTGGAACTTTTAGCATATTCTACATCGAAATAGAAATGTAATAATTACAATCAACACGTGAAAATATTATCAATTATTACTATCATTTTCAATATTATATTGGCATGTTATATAATAGAATATTGCTTGCTGTATAATATGTATAACGTTGGAAATTCTAACAATATTTATCGCTCAGCTCAATATTTCAAATAAAATGAATATTACATAATAATGAACACACACTAAATTAAGAATACAAATGATAGGAATGAACCTGAATGAATCTGAATATGAACATGAATTAGCTGACCTTGAACTAAGGTCTCATGAAGACCTCTCATCAGAATGAAATCACTTTTCTCTCTTTTCCAATGAACTCGTGGGGGAGGTCTACCCGATGCCTTGCAAGAAAGGGTCGCATTTTCCCCTTCTAAAACTGAGACTTCTCCCTCTGATGTACCAGAACTCAGTATGTCGGGGGGAACTTAAACAAAAATACATATTATACACACATATATATATATATATATAAATTTTTGCAATGTATAGATATTAATTTAATTTTCCTAATCCTTTGAAAAGATAAATAGTGAAAGATAGAGAAGCAGCTTTGATTTCGTTAGCATTTCAAAATCAAACCATATAAGAAGATAATATTTATATAAAAGTATCTCAACGAGAGCATTCACATGGGAATTCGTGATAAAATAACGTTGCGAAGAGAAAGAGATAGTAGATATGTATGTATGTATATACATGTTTCCCTCAAACAAACGTAAAATTCTTTCGTTTTCTTTTACTAAAATAGAAATGTGCAACAGGTTCGAGTTTTATATTGCTATTGTTTGTAGGCGATGAAGTTTAATGGGTAAATACGAATCGTAGTAAACTATTTTGCATTGTTTTTTTCCTTCAATTTTCATTTATTCTACTCAGTTTCATATGTGTGTACAGAAGTAACGAACTTTGGTTAAAATCGTTACAAAATTTCAAATAAAAAATCTTCACCGATGAGTAGAAAAATGTAGCAGGATTAAAAAGTAAAGAAGAAGAAGAAAAAAAGTGTCTCGGCACTTTTAAAAGCATCGAACAAGATCACGAAAAGTAGTCCAAGCTATTTCGTCGAAATTTCATCGTGATTTTAAGTGGACTATGCGCGCGGACCACTTTTACAAGATTTTTTCACTCTTCCCATTTACTTTATAGTTAGGAATTCCAAAATATAAAGAAAGACGAGGGTGCACGATCCTACTCAAACGATACGAAATTTCTTTCAAGTATATAGAATATGTATATATGTAGAGGTCCAAATGATTTGATCACTTTGCAAAATGTATTATCGTACAAAGATTATTTCGATCAAATATTTCATCGAAATTTCTTTGTCTCCCTTTTATTATTACTACTCGCGTAGAAAGCAAAGTACTAATATCGTAGTGTGTTTTAAAGGAAGTACTTAAAAGATTTTTTCGATAAGGGATGCAAGAACATATTTTGAAAAACGAACGAGCATATTTCGCGATAAAGATTACATACACCATTGACCTACTTTTAACTAATGGAGAAAGTGATGCGTTCTTGCGATAAAGTAATGAAAAAATCTATATCTACGTATACACAACATATAATATTACAGCAATATGTAAGGAAAGCTCGACTAAAAATTCCTTTTCTAAAAAGCTTTTTAATAGGAAAATAATATTCATAAATTACAACTTGTATTAGTAGCATTAGAAAATGATATTTATTTATTTATTTATCCAATTTTTCTACGTATAGGAGGAGGCTTGACAAGTTTATCAAATCAATCTTGACCATCAAGAAGCTTTTTTATATCTGCGACGGAGGAGTATAAAAATCGTAATAAAAAAATAACAGACAAATAAATAGAGAAGAAAGAAGAAGAAAGAAGAAGAAAAAAGAAGAAAAAATATAACTTTAATACAAGTCCTTCGCAAGACTATTCTTTTTAAGCGAATGGGACCGTGTCCCATGGCTGACAACGTGTAGGAATTCTTCTGGCAAATAGAAAAAAAGAAAGGAAAGGAAAAGAAAAAGAAAAAGAAAAAGAAAAAGAAAAAGAAAAAGAAAAAGAAAAAGAAAAAGAAAAAGAAAAAGAAAAAGAAAAAGGAATGAAACGAGGATATTCAGCTCGTTAGAAAAGAGTACAACCGAGAAACGAGCTTTCGCGAAGAACGTCGTCGTCGTCGTCGTCGTCGTCGTCGTCGTCGTCGTCGTCGTCGTCGTCGTCAGAATGTTCGTTGAATTTTTCGAGCTATCCTCTTCTTCTTTCTCGTTCATGCCCATAAAAGTGTTCGCAGGAAAGAGGGAGGGAGAGAACGCATATATGTATGAGAACAATTTCGATGCATATGAACGCGAATGGGGCTGTCCGTTCAACGAGAAAAGCTAAGTCGTTATCTTTTACATATACGTGTACGCGCGTGTCTATGCGTGTACGTGCTACAAGAAATTCTACCTTATCGAAAATGTCGAAAATTTCGAAAATTTCGAAAATCTCGACATTTCTCAAATGTTTTCTCAAATTGTCTTATCTTATGTTAGCTTAATCGTTGATTATATTAATTTAGGATGTTGCTAGATATATATTAGCTTATAGACAATGACCGTCCTATATATGTATGAGCTTGCATATGTAACAACGCGTCTATAGGTTTCCTATACATATAAATATAGGAATAGGGGAGTTAATCACGGATAAGTAGGTAGAAGCTTTGTAGTGATGAATAATTATTTACACACTGATTATGCCTGTAAAGGCGAGATAATATTATTTAGAAAATTAATGCAATTAAACTATTATCATTCTTGAATTACAATTCAATTCAAAATAGTAGAAATACCAATTATAATTTGCTAATTTCTATTTAATCGATCAATCGAACAAATGAAATCATAAAATACGAAGAAATTGAATCGGTTAGCCGAGTGAACAGAATTTTCCATATCTTTGACTCATCTTTTTTCCCCCTCTCCCTGTCTCTCTCTCTCTCTCTCTCTCTGTTTTTTTCATTATCTCTCCCTTTCTTATACACCCTCTTATTTTCTCTTATTCTTACGTTAATTCAATCTCGAACGAAGTCCGTTTTTTCTTCTTTCATTCCTTTCATCGAGAAGATCGCACGTGTTCGATAGTTCCGAGCTTTATATTGACGAGCCCAATAATTTTCGTGTTCTATATTTTGACGTCTTCAATATTTCTCCTGTTCGATATTAGAACGTTGGAATATTGAACCGGGAAATTTTCGATCGAACTGAAATTTACTCTCCTTCTCAATGCCGTTTCACTGGCCACGTTCCATTTCTCATATATTTTTCTTTTCATTTTTTTTTTTTTTCATTTTTTTTCTTTTTCTTTTTTTTTTTTTTTATGTAATACTTCCCTCATCTTTCATCTTTTATTTTCAATCATTGAATAGAAGATTCCTTCCCTTTAATCAATTTTTCTATGAACGTAGTAATCATTGAATTTATAGAAAATATTTGAGATATTCTTCTTTCTTATTAGAATAATGAAAGAAAAAATTGATCAAGCAAAGTGTAAGACGTTTTTGTGAGAATAACCATTGGTCTATCTTTGTGGACATAAGCAATGGGACAAAGGTGGGAAGGCTATATAGAAGGATATATATATATATGTAGAAAGGTATATAGAAGGGTAGGTAGAAGGGCCATTGTGTAAACACGTTCCTAGTTCTAACGATCATGAGCATATATTTTGGAGGAACGTGCGAAGCTCGACGGTTAATCGAAACAACGCGTGGACGGGTGCGATTGTACGCTTTGGTGCGTACTACAGCAGTATTACTATATTCTATTCTCTATCTCTGTAGGTATATACATGTATATGTATGTGACCGCAAACGTCTGGGTTGGTGAGAGCATGAGGCTAGTAGGAATGCGCATATTGCGCAATTAGGCATACCTAGGACGTCGACGCATCCCAGCTGGCTCAACATGGGCTGCGCGTTGATTTGGCACATGTAGCAACCTCGATCGGCTTTCCTGAGTTGGCGAATATGCAGGCTCCAAGTGGCTTCCTCGTCCTCTCTCGAACGAGTTTGATTCTTTGCCTTGGCCTTTTCGACGTTTACTTGGAAACGTGCTGAATGGGTCACCGTTCGCTGACCCATCGACAATATTGTCTGATCCTCGACTCGTAGCCATCCTACCTAAACATCGTATCGAATCATATTACATTTTACAAAGATCAAAGTCAACTTATTATAACACTTTGATACATATTTATAACATTGAATATTATAATAATTATTTACTTTTCTCGAAATCTTCAAATATTAATATTAATTTTGATTCTTTGTTAAAGCATATTGGGACCTAAGTTTATATAAACTCTCTTGACCTAGTAAACCTAATTAATATGCAATATAAGTTTGATATTGACCACTTTGGACATCTTGTCGATATGCATAGCTTCATTCTCAATTATAATGCAAATTAAATAAAATACTAAAGTACAACAACAACAAATAGAAATAAAAATAGAAATAGAAACAGAAATAGATAGTGTTTTATCGAATAGGATTACGAAGAGAAATCCATCAAATCCCGAGTTGTCGATACGAAAGTCGTCGTTGAAAAGTAGATCATAGATAAAATCTAATCTTATTTTAGAAGGGAAGGAAGGAAGAAAGAAAGAAAGAAAGGAAGGAAGAAAGAAAGAAAGAAAGAAAGGAAGGAAGAAAGAAGAAAGATAGATAGTACAGTAAGGTAAAGCAGAAGTAGCTACATATATATATGTTTAACTTAAATCGAGTCTTGGAAAAGGGGATCGAACTCTTTGCTTGCTTTGAATTTCTATGATTAAAGGAACTTAATAATCGATCCCTTTTCCTACCTATGTATGTGTATATGTGTGTTTGTTCGAAGAAGATAGATAGTTTGGAGAAGTTCATATCGGAGAAGTTTATCGAATCTCGAGAGACTTCTCCGCTAACGTTTTGTTCCACCATCATAAAGAAAATTAAGAAGAAAAAGAAAATGATAGAAATAAAAAGAGAGGGAGCTGTTACAAAGAGAAAGAAGGAGGAAAAAAGAGTAAGAAAGAGGAAGGAAGAAAAGAAGATAGACAGACGGATAGAGGCAAATAAATAGATCTAAAGAAAAAGATAGAGATAGATAGTTAGACAAATAGATAGAAATAGAGTAAAAGGTAAAGAAGGAAGAAGAGTATCGGGCAAATATCGAAGTACTACAAGCACGAAACCATTAGCAAAGTATCCATAGACGTTTCGAAGGACGCGAACACGTCTATAAAGTTTCCTAGGAAAGCGTTCTCTTCTTCTCTTTCTATTTGCCTTCCGCTTACCCTTCGCTCGAAAGAACGTCTCGCCTTCGTCAAGGATACCCTCCTAGGTAGGTCTCTTCCTAGCGAGCGTTCTTCTTGACTCGTATTCTCGGTGGAATACGACACACACACAAATTTAGATTAACGAATGAATATCCTAACAAAAAAAATACTACAATTTTTATTTGTGTTATATTTAATTTATACGAAATTTCAAATACATTCTCTTTACCTACGTTTGCAAACTATATAATCCTTTAATTCTGTTTTATCTCTGCTGGAAAGGCATTGTATAATTTCACACCTTCATAAAACAGACTCTTTTATACAACACTTTTTGTTCTATGAAATTGTATAGAAATATTCTCTGACTGTCTAGTGCATTCACCGCTCACATTTCCTGCTATTTTCATTCTATTATTAAATTATTTTAGGAACATTCCTTAAACTATCTTCAAAATAAAAGTGTATACATTATAATATAGTCACTATTTTACATTACATTCGTAAGTTTGAAATTCCATTACGTTCATAAATTGCAATGGGAGAAGGAGAAAGAGAACGAAAGAGGGAGTAAGAATGAGTAGGAGAGTAGAAAAGTTAGATAGTTAAATAGACAGAGAGAGAGAGAGAGAGAGAGAGAGAGAGTTTTCACGAAAAGGATACTTTCAGACTCCTAAATTAAAGATTTTCTCGACGAAATTGATCTTAAATGAAAGTTACGTGTCGGAGGAGAATACTATACTTGTTAAATATTCATTGAAAAATGTTGCCTTATTTTTCCTATTGTTAGATTTTTTGCATCACAAATATGTTAGAAATTGAAATAATTACAAAATAGAGAAAACAGAATTATAAGAAAAATATAAAATTAAATGCCAAGAGAAGAATTTCTATATTTAATTAGAATTCCGTATTAAGTAATATCCATACAATTCATACCACCGTTCCTAACTTGTGTTTCATTTTATTTCTCTATTAATTAAAACAACACAAACTGTCTTAGTTAGTTATCTGATATTCGTAAAGAATACATTATACATTACAATATTAAATAATACAAATAATTTGTTTCGTTTTAATCAATAGAGAAATAAAATAATAGACCAAGGAAAATATAAAAATATATTAAAAGATGACTTTGGACTTTTCATTTGAGATCGATTTCGTCTCGAATCCCTCAAGTCTCCTCGGGGATCCTAGGGATCACCACGGAAGGGTGACACTTTCCGTGTCAGTCAGGTATACTACTAGACAACCTCGGTATGAGATGGTTTCTCGTCGCTAATATTATATCGCGAAAATCATCTCCCCTCTTTACATCCCTCTCTCGTGCATGCACACATATACCTACCTATGTGCAACCGGTAATTGCTTTTAGGTGAGAACACTTCCACCAATATCATACCACTACTACCATAGCTGTATTCCAATAACGAAGCAACGGATCGCAGTAGCAGCAGCAGCAGCAGCAGCAGCAGCAGCAGCAGCATCACTACCGGCAGTGCCAGGTTGGGAATCAAGCCCGACGAAAGGTTCAATTTAACGTCGTATCGTTTGCCACTGTTATCTATGATGGTGCACTTGGTAATTAATCTCTAGTCGGGACTATCCCTTCTCCTTCTAACACTTTCTCCCTCATACAAGCATATGCACATATACACAGCTGTTAACTAAACCGAATGAAACGAGACGAGCATCATCATCATCATCATCATCATCATCATCATCATCATCATCATCATCATGATGATGATCATCATCATTGTCATCGTGTAGTTGAAGCTTCATCCCAGAATCTCTATTCTCTATTTAGGGGATCAAAAGAAAGAGAGAGCCTTCACTTTTGATGATGTAAAAAAAAGGACAATGTAATAAATAAACAATTGTCATAATAGTTAGGAAAATGTATAAAAATAAAAAGGAAAAGGAAAAGGAAAGGGAAAAGGAAAAACGTGTGAGTTTTTAATTTGAAGAAAGCGATAGCACTTAACGTTATAATCGTGCTAGAGGTACGTGCTTTTAGCCGGTTAACAGAAACGCCAGCTGTGAAGTATCTACTTTCCTGCCTGGTAGTTTCCGTTCAAAGTGCTTGCTTTCGAGACATTAACATGTAAGATACATTGTCTTTACGAATTACGTTCTCTCCTTTCTGTTATTCACGCCCACTGCTTTTCTTCTTCAAATAATGTAAATACTTAAAAAATAACAATGAAAATAATCCTTTTTATCAAAGCCAAAGAAGATTAGGAAAGACAAGAAGCTTACAACAAACGGAGTGGGAGTGTAAAATGTTGTTGGTAACAGTTAAGGGACAACTCCGATTCTCGATGCATTACCCAAAGCCAGGAAATTCCCTGGGGGGGTGGGCACCCCGATTCTTCAGACCTTAGCCCCAAACCCGAAACCTCCAAAACTCCCCGTGTAATATTTGGAGAGTCCTAGGGCCACGAATCTACGTTAGCGCTAAGAGATTGCTCTCCCCATACCTTGTTCTTCCTCTTGCTCTTCCTCTTGCTCTTCCTCTTCCGTTCCATTGTAATCATGGAAACAATCATTCTTCCCTTTCCCTCTTCCTCTCTTCCTATCTTTACGTTTCACGTCTCTATCGCGTCGGGATAGTCGCGACGACAGCCGAGAATGGCCGACGATGCCAAGGCTGCTACCCTTTCGCTCGCCTTCATAGCAATCACCGATTTGTCTGAATAAGCCTCCGGCAAGTATATGCTCCTCATGCTTACTACCACCCCGGGGAAACACCAACCCGAATCCTCCCCCCCCCCACTCTGAGCAATCTCAAACCTGCCAGAGACTACCTCCTATCTATCTAGTACTATTACTATTGCTCCTCCCCCACCTTGTATTCTTCAACATCACCGAAAATACTAAAGTTCCTCGATCCTACCGGATGGGAGTGCAAAGAGATTCGACTGATGTATGAGAGATAAAAATGGGTGGTTGGTTGGTTGGTTGGTTGGTTGCTTGGTTGGTTGGTTCCTCCCTAAACCCTAACGTTAGCCGGAGACAGATTCGCGTCGATAAACGCGACTATATTCTTCATATAAAAAGAATGTGCATCTAGTTTTTTTTCCCTCTCTTTTCGTCGAGCATTTAACGAACGCTGTATGGAGTGCTATTGTTACTTTTTCTTCTATTCTTGACTATCTTTCGTTTACAATAAGATCGGCGAGCCGTTTATAATGTCTTTAATCGTGCTACATTTAATGGGCTTGCTTTTCTTTTTTTTTCCAACATCATCGATCAACTATCCCATTGAATTCAATTTGATTTACATCGGATTTTATGGGATTATTGATATCTTACTCTTACAATAAACTTTAAAATTCGAATTAGGTTAGTTTGGATGTTGATAATCTAGATTAAACTGATCCATTGCTAATAATATCATCGTAGTTTGAAGAAGATAGTTAACTAACAGATAGTTAGATAAATTTTAGGTACATATGTCTTTGCCGTACGAATGTGCTACGTTTCGTTTACCTTTCCTGTTCGGCCAACGTAACCCTTAATGGATTCGCTTTGCAAATAGCATTCGTTCTCTTTCGTTGATCCAATAGTGATCGAACGTTTCAAATGTTCATCAATTGGCTTTTTGTACGGTGTGTTAAAATACAAAAATAATGAAAAAAAAGTTAGCCGTTCGTCGTTGACCGAGCAAATTGGAACAATTTACTGTTTTACTTTATTTTTTTTGTGTTTTTTGTATTCTTTTGTTACACTGTATATGTTTGTTTTTATTTATTTTAATAAAAAAGCATAGTAAAATCGTTATTGTTATTGTTGCATACGATTTAGTGTTACAAACTTGAATTGCAATTGTGTCCTGATTTCTTTGCTACATTAAGAATAACTCAAATACCACTAGGAATATGTTTCCAATATGTATTTGTGCGGTTTTGATCCGATAAACTTTTCGTCGTTGAACGAAAAGATCAAAAGACCTTTGAAAAATATTTTTAATGGTGGGTACTCCTTATCCCATTCCCTATCCATAGAGATAGAAATATAAATGGAGCTCCCGGTATTGATCCTACAAGTAAGAAAACATTTTCATTTTGCATGGAAACAAATAAATTTGTACGTGTAAAAAACGTCTTTGTGTTTTGTCAAAAATTGAGATTTTGTATACTTATGTTAGTCTTTATTCCGGAGAGAATCAAACTTGAAGTTAGAATATTCTCCTAGCACATGTTTACCGTTACATGTTACCCTCCTGTCCTGTGCAACTACAGCAATGTGTGGTTAACCGGATCTTGAAACAAACCACACGTGTCCTTTACTAATAGTATTAATGCCATGCGCAATGCATTCCTCATCAGTATTATACGCGCTATATTGCGTGCTTATATTTCTTCTATCTCTGTCCTTTCACAAATAGAGAAAATAGATACTCAATAAGAGGTATGCGAATCGTATAGAAGAGAAATAGAAAGGATTCCGAAGGATTCGATGAAATCTTTAAGGACGATTATATTCAAAGACAGGGAGAGAGAGAGAGAGAGAGAGGTGAGGGGGGGGGGGAGAGAAAGGGAAATGCGATAAACGAATAAAACGAGACACCAACGTGTCTCTGGCACCCCTCGATCCTGAATGATATTCGATCTCAATCTCGTGAATCGGATAGCTTGACTATATTGAACTAGTTGTTCACCTTCTGGCCATCGGAAATCGGGGAAAATCGGGGAGAATCGGTCGTTGGAATTCGAAGCTAACTGTTCGGGAGGATGGATGTCTTCTCGATTCAACGAACGAACGAACGAACGAACGAACGAACGAACGACGAATAGGGTGGCTACGGTGGGGTGGTTTAAGGGTTAATGGTAAGGGGAATCAAGAGTAGAAATTCGACGAACAAAAGCTGGGATTATTCGTGTTAACGCTTCTAGTTTCTCTATCGTTGTTTATGGCTTCATATTAATATTATTTAGTTATGTATACGACTATACAACAACAGGGCTGATATAGAGATAGGGTTGTGTTGGATTCTATTCAATAAATCGAATATATTAATTCGGTTAGCGAGCTCGTTTATTGCGTCAATCGAATTTCAATGATTGCATATTAAAGGATAGATTATTTTCCTTTTTACATTTTCATATACATAATTTAATATCCTTGTTAATATTCGTTGTATTAATCATCTTTTTTTTTATATAGAATTTAGAATTATGGAAAGTATGACGGAAGAGAAGGGAGATAACAATAACGATATTAAATATTTCCAGGAATATTTCATAAATGTAACCAACTCGTACATGTATGTATGTATGTATACAAGGTGGCTCGTTATTATAAAAAATATCTCGACAAAATGTTCTCGAAGAAGGAATCAAATTTTTCACGGTATTTCAGCTTTGAAGACGATCTAAGGTATTGGTAGAAAAGTTGTTTGTCAAATGTAATGGAAGATAAATATAATAGTATATAACTCTATTTGAAATGATACACCCTGTGTACACAGATAGAACGGATGATCTCGAATGTCGGCTATAAAACGCGTATTACTGGTACGCATCGCAACGGAAGAGTTTTCGGGGAATGGCGGCGATGCGCGCAACGAAATTCGTTGTCATCCAATTTCTATTCCGTTCGTGCGAGATATTCATCGTGAGTGCGTTAACAGTGGCGTACGTAAAATAAATCTAAAAAGTCCGCCTCCCCGACAACCCCCCGACAACCCCCCGACAACCCCCCGACAACCCACCGACAACCCACCGACAACCCACCGACAATCCACCGACGAGTAGGAATATTTAAATGTGGATCGATTCCAGTGGCTTCATTCAGAGTTATCTTGTAGTATAACATGATTTTCGTTCGTAAAACGCCTTGAACGGGTTTAATAATAATCAAAATAATCTAGACAAAGGCTAGGAAATTACATTTCCATCGTAAGCGACCGTGCGGATAAATTCGTTAGGAGCTCTCTGTAATGAACAGGGAGAGAAGAGAACATATGCACATGCACATATCGTTGAATGACGGAGAAAGCAGCGACCAGCAAAACAAAGATAGAAATAGTCGAAGAGAGGGAGAAAGATAACTCGCCGTGGACGTTTTTCAATTTCGTCGCTGTCAAACGGATTGGTTCGATGGAAGTACAAGCAGCGTTACAGGTAAATCGAAATAAAACCAAAAATAGGGAACGATTCGACTTTTAGTATCGATTGATCGGTCGTTTAGCCAACTCCAAACTTGCATTCTATGTTCGTTCGTTCGTACGTTCGTTCGTTTGAATTCGTACAGGCAAACGCGAAATGACAGTTTTAATATCCTCCGAGGATAAACATTTATACGTGCCACCAGCAGGTGGTTGCGGCCAATCGAATGTGTATGCATAAGCGTTGAAAACAAATCGTGTTATTCGGCTTAATTGCTGGTACGTGCTATTTATCAACGTTCTTTATGTCTTTACATTAGTTTTACCCTTTCTCTTTTTACTTTATATTTCTTTTTTTTATTCTCCCATTTGCGTTTTTACACGCAAAACGTAGGAATGGGAATGGGAAAGAGAGAGGGAGGATAGCTAACATTTGTAATTTAGTAAACTTGTTTTGTTGCAAGTCTAATTGTTATTAGAGTTCCCCGGCAAATTGAAATGTTTAACGGTTCTTTAAAATGAGTCAAATGTTTATTATACTTTTGGAATAAATTATTATATTAAGGGGGAGATTTTAGTAAGTTTTAGTCAAATATTATTTAAAAATAGGGCGAAAATAGGGCGAAAATAGGGCGAAAATAGGGCGAAATTAATAATGTAACTTGCAAATGAGACGAAGGAAGGAAAGAAGGAAGGAAGGAAGGAAGGAAGGAAAAAAGGTTTGACTTTATAAGCGACCGGAAGTAAACGACGAGGGTAACGTACCGGAAGGGAAAGTTTACGAGGAGCGAGAGAAGAAAGTGAGAATCGGTCTTTGGATCTCCAGTGATATCTTCCCCCAAGTTACAGGAGGGAGAAAAAAATGTCCATTGTAAAAGTGTAGAAGCTCGCGAAGAACAAACTGAATAGCACTTTCGGTGGTATTGTCCGAGCATAAAAGCTGCAGGAGCTGGTTTTGCTCTTACAATTAAATGCGCCAGAATGAGACTCGACGAAGCCGTTTCAAGTCCACTTGGATGATATCCTGATTACCATCAGAAAGAGAGAATATTTAATATGTATTGCTCCTATTATGCTAATCGCTAACTTTTATAGTACGTTATTTAAATATTGTCAATTAATTTCAATTAATTTCAATTAATTTCAATGAAAAATAGTCAACTATTTTCTATAGATAGTTTCCAACGGTATTTCATCCTCTATTGCAAATTGTTATTTATTTGGAAATGTTCTTCCAACATCTGGATTTTATTTAGCAGAAATAGAGTTTGTCGAAGTTATTCAGCTTGCTTTAGAAACGATAGAATGATAAAACGATAAAAAGTCGTCGAACAAGATCGGACGAGTTTGCTTCGCAAAGCAAATCTTTGTTCCTTGGAAATATTCTCTTTTTTATTATCTCTATCAATTTCGTTGTCTCCCCTTTCACTCGATCAAAAAAGAAAAAAGAAAAAAGAAAAAAAAGAAGAAAGGAGGACAAAATGGAAGAAAACGAATTGGGATAAGAAAAGAGATGACGAATTCAATTGCACGGTTTCCGTTTCTCCTTTAATCTTGTATCCTGGTTAAACGCGTTGCTAGATGAACTAGAAAATAGTTTCTATCTTGTTAGGAAAAATGAAGCGACTATAAAAATGCTTTCATATACTTTTGCTGTGTTATCCCTATTTAAATTGAAAACTGCATAATGATTTAAAAACAAAAAAAAAACAAACAAACAAACAATGCAATAGGATTGATTTTGTTTTTTAAGGTTTAAACAGAGATGGACAGAGTGACATCTGCCTTGTCCAAGCACCTTCTCCAATCTTTCCCGTTATCTCTCACCAAGGGGGTGACTGACCCATTTATTTTCCACTCGCGGCTGCCCGGCCGAATTTCAAATTCTCTTATCGCACCTCCCCGTCCTCGCTTTTAATTAAAACCAGGACGAGGATGATTTCCTTTCAAGATTTTTTTTTTCTTCTTCAAATCCAATCATGCCTCCCTCCCACCTCTCGGATCATTCCCGAATCGTTTGTTTCAACTTACCTTGTAATTACCCAGTTTCCGGATAGTGCAAGATAAGATTGCTTCTTTGCCGATTGCCGCGGTCACGTTACCGATCTCTTCTGAAAAACTTGGCCTATCTGAAAAATACAAATGCAACACCGTTAGTACTAACGACGTGACTTTGTAGCACGTTACGATGTTGATTTTGGAGCTTTCGCGAACACGGTAGATCTAGTTTGCATTTCTATGGAGAGATTACAGCGTGAATTCCGTAGTATAAATCAACATCGATCGGGTTGCACACTGTTCGTATCTTTCAACTATGTCTAGTAGCTCGTTAGAGACTGTCAAAATTCGTCGTCAAAATTGTCGTCAAAATTGTCTAAATTATCTAGACCCTTACTTACTTTCAAGTTGAAATAGAAATTTGTCCAATTGACGTCTAATTTTAATCTTACACGAATACATCATGTCAACGTAGACTATAAACTGTATTTTTCGCTCATGGAAGCTTCGAAAATCCATCAAAAGGTAGTCATTTAGTTGTCGCTTTTCCGAAGGGACCATATTTCGACGCCATGTATCGGCTTCATCCATTAATGCCGGTGTAGTAGCTTCACGGTTGATAGGAAATCGAAGTTACGCATCGTTTGCGGGAAGCCTCGATATTATATGTGTCAAGCTGGTATTAAGTAATCGATGTCATTGTACTCCCAAACCACATCGTTCTATCTTTTCTATCTTTTCTACATATACCCCAACACATATTCGTATATAAAGAAATATTAAATGTCCAACTTCGATATTCATGTATATTACAAATTAATCTTTTTTTTTTTTCATCATCCTAGTCCAAGATCGAATAAAAAATTGAAAAATAATTTATCGGAGTATCGAAACATTTTCGTGTAATATGCTAAACGTAATTACACTTTGCCAATCGTTCGAATTAATTGAATAACAGGGTGAGAGAGTAGAGTCGGGGTAGTAGGAGGGTTGGTTAGTGAGAAACCCTCCCCCTCTCTCTCTCTCTCTCTCTCTCTTTATTTTAAAACCACCAAGTTGAGTAGGGCGCGAATCGATTCGTTGCTAACTCAAGATAAATATGGTTCAACTAAAAGGAAAAAAAGAACAACGAAACAACAAAAAATGAATCACCAGGAGTGGAAGAAAAATAAAGATACGTTTCTATTGAACGAATGGATCGAACGATGTTTATTCTCGTTTATTGGAAACATGGAAAAGCATTCGGAATGTTTCATCTGGATTAGTGAATTTGTTTGTTGCGATGCAGAGTGTCAAGATAGTAGGCTATTTTTTAAATAATATCAATAATAAATGAATATTGCCAATAATATGAAAGGAAACATTGTATTGTATGTGTATTAATATTATTGTACAAAACAGCAAAGTATGAGTTGAAATTAGTTGAAATTAAACCTGAATAAGAAGTAACAAACAAAGTACTAGTATATAATATAGCTGTGTTATGCATAACTTTGCTCCTCTTTACTTGAAATCAGCTTTACAAGAAGAAACAATATGAAAATAGAAAGAGAGAGAGAGAAATAGAGAGAAATAGAGATAGAGAAACAAATTTCTAAGTCGATTAAAAGTCAACAATATAAGAAATTCCATAGAGACAAAAGAAACTAAAGAAAAGGAAAAGGAAAAGGAAAAGGAAAAAGAAAAAGAGAGAATTCAAGCTCTTTTTCACGTGTGTGTCAATATCGAATTTCTAAGTTAAACTTTCCAAGTATAGTCCAAGTCGATAGAATATCCGAAGAAAGGAAGAAAAAGAAAAAAAGAAATAGCAGAAAGGGTTGGTTGTATAGTCAAAGTGTAAAAAGAGCTGATACAAGCCACTGGCGTGGAAATGGTTGCTACATAACGTTACAAAGAGAAAGTTAGAAAATAGTTGGGGGGGGGGGGGGGGGGGGTCCGAGTAGGACCACGGAACCACCTTCCACATAGGAAGGTTGTCCCAAGGAAACAACGTCTCAGGTATTATGATAATATATTCACTGACAGAAATAGCCCCAGGGCTTCGAACGGAGAAAGTAGAAGAGTTGAATTTTCAGTTTCCGCATCTTCCTATCTAGAATGTAATATAAGGAAACGGGCAGGAAAATAGGGGATCCAGCGAGATTCGAGTTTTCCTTTTGGAATGAGAGAAATATAGAAGGAAAATTTTGGTAAAAAGACGTCGCCAGTAAGTACGAAGCCTACAAACCTGTTATATACCTTTTTATTTTATGGCTAAATTATTCCACAGAAGATAAATAATTCAATCTTAACGTTCGTTGCTACTGCTGCCAGTGCTATAGACTCTCCCTCCCTGATCGAAAATACTTCAGAATTATATGTTCTACTCGTATATATGATTGAAGGTACTTTCCCATTTTATATTGGTCCACCTTTAACAATTTCTACGATGCATCCGTGATTTAGAAAATATTGAATTATTTGAAATATTTGAAGATTATTGCATTTGGAATGGTCCAATGAAATTAGTCATATATATCAAATATTATTTGTTGTATTAAATGTGTACATATATATACATATATACACACACAATATTAAAACCTTTAACCACGTTTCACTTTTACCGAACCACTGGTTTCGTTAAAATTAGTGGAAATGCACGGTCCGCTACTTTTTGAGATCCGAGAGAACTCGAGAAAATGCGATAAGAGAGAGAAATTCTCATTCTCTTGAATATGAAATCGTCGAGCAATTTAGTTGAAAGAGAGAAGACGAAGATTGCAAAAATTCGACTCATTTCAACAAAAGAATCACCACCGGGTATAAGAGTTTCTTTCTATCGTCTAAATAGAAATTTGTGTAAGGTATATCTGTATAGTATAGACGATTTAACAAGGTCGTTTGAATAAATTAGCTTTGTGGTGAGATGATGGGATAAAGCTTTACTTCTTTCTTCTCCTACCTTTTGTTTTTGCTTTTTTTATTTTATGGTGGAAGCTATTTCGTCCTTTCGTGCCAATTATTTACAAATTAATCATGATATTTATTCATCAATAAGCATTTTTTATTTCATTTGTACTTGGCATCTTTTTCAAATTCAAATAAGATTGGGGAATAAGTGTTACGTTTTCTACCTGTATATCACACATTTTGTTTGATTATTTTTTCTCTCCGTTTATTCCATTTTCTTTTTGTCGAGAGACGAGGAAGCTATAACGAAGAAGAAGAAGAAGAAGAAGAAGAAGAAGAAGAAGAAAAAGAAATAGGAAAAGAAACAGAATAGGAAAGCAAAAGAGCGAATGTAAAACGAAATCGCGACGCCATACGGACGTTCTCATACTCTCTTTACCGAAAATACATTTTACGGCTTTTTCTATACGCGTATTTGTGTCCTCGGTATATACATATTTGTTTAAAGGTGTAGAGGTGCATATACAGGGTGACTCCAATAGGAAATAGTTGAATAGTTGAAAGCTGCATGATCTTAAATGATGCAAATCTTTTGCTTTTTCATTTGTTCTAATAAATTTGTAATTATTATTATTATTATTATTATTATTAAAAGTATTTATTTATGTTGGCCCTAAATGAAATATTTAACTAACCACATACACATAGGTACATCAATTGTGTAAATGAAGGAAATGTCATTGTAGAAAAAAAGTGCATAGATATTGTCATTGAATTCTTTGACAAATATATAATTAATTGAAATTTCGTTAGAATTGTTGAAGTAATGCGAGTCACCCTATATACGTATAATACATATGTATATATATACTAGCATGAGAAGGAGAAGTACTCTTTTCCGCGTAGCGGCTCTCGACAAATTGCCTTCTTATTTCAGCAACGATTCTCTACTGTTGAAAAATACAACCAAAAATATCTCGAGATACGTTCATGGGGAAAGATCTAGGTGCTCGCGAAAATAAATTCAAGAGTGTGACGTCAGCTGGAAAAATATCTTTCAGTTATAAATGAGATAGTAGCAGCGGTAAAAGGGCGAAAGTGAGTATATCTTTTATTTGAGTATTTATTTACATATATATTTGAACAAAAGACCAATTAAATGGACGACAGTTTGAAACGAAAATGTAGACGACTGATAAGAATAAGATAATGATTTAATAACAATCGACTATACCAAGATAGGAGAAGAAAAAGGGGAATGTCCAGAGCTTTATCTAGTTTTCTAAAATTAGGCAGAATTGAACATTAATATCGGAAATTCTTGAAAGAGCTCTTTAATAAAGTTTCTAATTAGTACGAAGAGGAATAGTTAAGTTTCAAGATAAGAAGTCGAGTTTAGAAACACTTCATTTAAATTATCAGTCAAAAAAGTCGTACAATTTAAAGACGATAAAAGATATATTGGCAAAATACGAATAAAACTAATAAGATTAATAAAAGTTTCCAAAATACAAGTCTTTTAAATGAAACATAACGTAACGTAACGTAACGTAACGACAATTTATTTAGTTATCTTTTTCTTTTTTTCCTTTTCCTGCAAAATTGCGGTTTACTTCATCGTTGAAAATATTTCTTTCCCTCTCTCTCTCTCTCTCTCTCTCTGAATAAGAGATGAAGTTTACAGAGTAACGCAGTTGGCAATTTAGGACTTTGATGCGTACCGTGGGGATTTAATGAACGTAAACTCGTGCCAAAATTTCCTAATAAAATTCAGTAGTTATAGTAATTATATTTTACTTGCAATTAAATGTACTTCTTCACTTTATTAACGCATTATTAGTCAATAATCTTTTATATAGACGAAATAATTGTTAAAAGAAAAGTCGACAGATTGAGTGTGTCAAAAATAATAATAAGATTATAAAGTTGGGAATAAAAAAAATTCATCAGTCGAATCAGATTAAGGCAAAGTTCAAAGCCTTGGAAAGTATTCGCATCTTTCAAACAAAGTAAAGAGAAATTTTGAAGAAAGGTATCGTACCACCGTACATCCTTTCCGTACCATGAAGGACTTTACTCAAGATTTTCGTTTACTTTACTAACCCTCAAATAGTAATCTCTCTCTCTCTCTCTCCCTCTCCCTCTCTCTCTCGTTGGTGTGCTAAAACTTGAGAAATTAGTTGGTCGTGTCCTTTTTGTTTTGTTTTGTTTTGTTACTTTAACTAACAAAGTGTCATCT